TCAACCCAACCCATAGAATAACCTATGATGGTGGAAAGACATGATATCAGAAAGGCTTTTGCCATTCAAAACCCCATGAATTTTAATGAAAAACCATTTGATTGGTTACCAGTATGATTATGTGGGTTGATTGGTTTTAAGTTTTTCTGGTATCATGTCTTTTCAGCATTACTAGAAAGTGTGCATGTTTGCATGTGGTAATTCTGGATGATGATAATGATAGTAATAATGTATCCAAAATTTTCTATAAACTTTATTTTTTAAATTTTTTGTTTTTTATTATTAATCGAATGCGAATTAAAAATCCAAATATGTGATAATTAGATCAAGTTATGAAGTTTCAAGTATCATTGATAGGCCTACTTGCTTGGCTAGATTCTTATTTTTGTAATATTTAATCTTTTTTTGTGTATCCTTTTTTATTCATTTAACAAAAAATGTAAGATTTAAATAGAGGGAAATGAATGGGGTGAAAAGTAGTAGTTCAATTTACAATTTAAACCTCATAATTAAATAGGGACTAAATTCAAAAATGAGTATTTTAGTCAAAAGAAAGTTCCACAATCTTATTCATATTTTTAATAGTAGTGTAAATATATAATTATGGATGTGTTCAATTTTTTCTATAATTTTTTTTTGTATTTTTGTGTGTAAAAATAATTTTAATATGTCACACTTACTTTTTGTTTAATATGATAAATATATGATATTATACATGTGCCTAATTTTTTTGCAAAATTTATGTATTTTTATATTTTATTAACTTCTATTATTTATTTATGACATTAAATGTTAACATGTTTCACCCAAAATTTGAACTATTGGTCTTTGCCAAACAGTAAACTAATTTCATTTTTTTGTCAGTTCTAAATTATGTATTTCATTTTCATTACCAATAAAAATTATTCTTGTTTATTACACTTATTTTTTTAATTTGATTAATAAAATATCATAAATGTGTTTATTTTTTCTATATTTTTTGTAAGTTTCTATATTTATTTCTAGTTTAAAAACTTTATTACCTAACTATGACTTCGTAGGTTGATCAATTTGATTCGGATGGTTGAATTTCTTAACCACCACTTAAATTAAAAATGATTTTGTTTTTGAGTTAGTTTTAAAATATATGGGCTTATATTGTTAAAAATATTGACACAAATATAATTTAATAAGAAAAAATGGGATTTAATAATTTAAGTGTAAGACTTAATTTGAGGGGATTAAATGAGGTGGGAAGTAATAATTTAAGTTACATTTTCAACCTTACCATTAGAGATGGACTAAATACACAATTATGGGTATTTTAGTAGCCATTAAATTTATAACAAAATGGCTTTTATACCCTTTTCCAAATAAAGAAGTAGAGGGTAATTTTAGTCCTAAAAGGTCTCACATTGCATTCACACTTTTATATACAATATAGATAGTCAAATCCATAAATATTATAATATTACACATAAAATATATAATATATGCAATATTCTATATTGTATAAAAATATAACATAAATTTTGTATAAATGGCATAGACCCCAAAGGTTGCTACATATTATAATCCTTACCATAGGCGCTAAGCCTAAGCTAGGCCACCCATGATCACCCCCTAGTTTCACTCACAATCTATTTATGAAAATATGTTGATACGGAGAATATGTAAATTTTATATTAAATAATTTGAACATTGAAAGTCCGGTATGAAGAATTATAATAGCTACTACTAATACAAGTAGGGGTGTAAACTGATTGAATTCGAATTGAATCAAGCAATATCCGAATTTGAATCCAATTAAAAAATTTGATATCCGACGAATATTGAAAATTAATATTTGAATTTAAATTCAATTAAATATTTGAATATTCGGTTTTATTTAAATTCAACCAATTAATTGTTTTAGGTAATTAATAAATATTTTATTTATATAAAGTATATAAATATATAAATTAGTTATATAATTTGGTTATTATATAAAACATTTAAATATTTTATATCTTATATATAAGAATTAAATAGTTGATCAAATTCGGATATTTATTGAATCGAATTAGGTCATATCCGAATTCAACTGATTAGATATTTGAATTATCCAAATTCGATTCAATTATGTCGAATCTTGAATTCGAAATTAGATTTTCAAGTACCGATGACATCCTTAGATACAATGCCATATGAACTGTAGGATTGAAGATGTAACCAATTTAGTGGGTCCACCATTTGATCAATGGTTTGAATGGTTAGAAGATCCCTTTACATGGCAGGTCTCTTTTTTTGGCAATAAACATGGTAGCTAGTTCATACGGGAAAGGTTTTTACTTAACTATGAAAATGGATTTCGTCATCCCAAAACTGTATTGAGAATATCTCTGTAGTCCGTACTTGTATGTCTTTATTCATAGAGACATATTTCCAATGCACAACTGCAAGGGATTGCGAATACAATGTGAAGATCAAAAGCCTATTCGTTTCCTTTTAACTCTTATCTCTTAAGAGGAATCTTATAACTTTAAGAGGAAAATGGGTGTTCATTTTCTCTTATCTCTTAAAGTGGAATCTTACAATTTTTTGTAAAGTTCTCATATATAAGATTAAAATGGACATTTGACAATTTTAAGAATTCAGAATTCAAAATTTAGAATTCAAAATAACATCTTCTACATTCAAAGTTCAGAGGAAAGAAAAGTTCACCAATACCAATATACCTCTTAATGTAATTATTACAATTTCAAATGTCGGACGTCAGAGTAAATAAATAGACCCTAAATCAGATTCCTTTAACTACTTGTGCAAAATTATGGTGATAATGTATTTATTGGCATGAGCTAAAAGGCCTGATTTGGGCCAAACTGGGGCTGGGCTTGAGCTATAGCCATTATCATACATGCTAAGTCCACCTTGGCCATGATTACCCCTACCTACCAGTAGTTGATTGGAGGATTCTTTTGCTCAACGAAATGCAACTCCAAGCACAGTCATCTAGTGTATGTACCCCACAACATGATCTAATGGTGGCTACAAAAGAGACTTGGGATCAAATCATCTTTGTCACCATGATATATGGGGATGGTCTATCTCCGCTGCGTAGCCTATAAAGTTAAATAAAAAGTCTATAATATAAGGTTGCAACTTGGGCCCGGTTGGCTCGAACCCAACCCAAAAAACGTTGGGTTGGATTGGGCCGGGTTGATGTCCAAGTTAGGGTTAGGGTTGAAACTCATGAATCCGATTTTACTTCAGGTTGGGTTAGGGTTGACCCCTTATCCAACCTGACTCGACCCGAACCCGACTCTATAGTACATGTCATATATAAATATATGTTATATGTAATATATAACATACATTGATTTGTTTAGATGCATGATATTTGTATAGCCCCCACCACATAGTATCATGTATTTCTTTTAAGATAGTCACTTCACTTAATCCTAATCAGAAAGATTAAAACCTTAATAACATTATTTTATATTTTTTGAAAATTTTATTCTTCATCCCCTCTATGTTGTTTGCCACCCAAGAAAGATTTACCGTAAGTCATAACTCATAATAAACTATAGTCATTTCTAACACTTGTTTTTCTAAACTTTGTACTAAAAGAACAAAAAAAAATGTCAACAAATAAATACTAATGAAACATAGGATTAATATATGTAGTGAAAGTTGAGTTAAGATCTAAAATTGAGAAATTCTATGAGGTTTTAAAGGATGTGAAGAAGGTTGGGTTAGACCCAACCCAATCTGAAATTGACTTCGGGTTGGGTTGGGTTAGGGTTGAAGGAATTTAGTTAGGGTTAAGGTTAGGATTGGGTTGGTCGGGTTGAAGGTCGGGTTGGGTTAGGGTTGGCCTCAACCCGACCTAACCCGGCCTGACTTGCAGCCTTACTATAATACATTAATGCCCCAAAGCCACTCGAATCTCTCACTCTGTTGCATGACTGACTTAAAAGGCATAATTATTGGTTAAACAATCCCTAATGTAGCCATTTAGGTTAGCATTATTCGGTTAAAATAAAAAATTAAACAGAAAATTTTAGTTTTGTTTTTCTTATTTGGTTTTTGGTTAATTTAATTCTTGAAAATTTTGGTTTTCAAAATTAAAAATTCAATTAACTAAATTTCATTGTATAACATGTTATATATATAATATAATGAAATTTGGTTTTAACTGAAATAATCGAAAATTGAATTGAAAAAATTTGGTTACGATTATTTCGATTTTCTTGTAATTCGATTTTAGTTTGATTTTCATTTTTTTATTTGACTTTTTAAAATTTCAACTTATTCAATTCCATTTTTAACCAAATAAACTGAATGCTCACCCCTGACATTCAACTGTATATCCGGAATATCTCCCATACATTCATGGCTGGATGTTCTCAATGTGACTGGATCTATGTGTGTTGGTAGGGCTTTTGCTTTCAAGAACCCATCATCCTTGTTAAGTGTGCTCGCAACACGCATCCCAAAGATTTTTCCAACAGCCACTACGGCGGCATATTGAAAACATCTCTCCATGAATAATGAGGGAGATGTTCTCGATGTGTGGATGTGAAGGTCGTTGGGAGCGTTGTAGACCCTTAGTTGGGAGAAGATCCGGACGGAGCTAGAGGGGTTCACAATCTACAACATGGTTTTGGGCTTTGAACAACGTAGCAAAAGTTGGTTGGGCCGAGTTCACATTAGGAACTGTTTTATCGCAAGGTTAAAACCACGTCGGCCTCAAATTGACACGTGGCAAAATTCTATTTGATATCGGGTGTTTCTGTGACGCTTCGGCGCCTTTTTTCGGAATCTGCTCCACAGCTCCACTGCTATATTCATGGGCCTTGATTCCGTGAGTGAGAAACGACCCCAGATTACTCTACGAATTCGTTGGATTGGGATCAGTTGTGGGACCAACCGATCCTTTTGTTGCAGGGTTCCGGTCCAACGGTTGATCGTTGATTGAAGGATTTCTTCTTTCATTAAAAATAAAATTTTAAAGTCCTAAAGAAGAAAAAAACGTAAAATGACGCGATCTCAATTCCACGACGCGAAGAAGTCCCAATGGCGACAGAAGCCGCGGGCGCGCCATTCCTACCGGTCCACCTCCCTAGATCTCACCGTCTCTGCTCTACGCGCCTATATCGTTTCCTTGTCTGATTTCTTCTTATTGATTTTTATCTGGTCAGCCATGGCAGCCATGTCTGTGTCGCTCAACAATGGCGAGAGAACAGTTGTTCTTCTTTTCATCTCCTGCGTTCTCTTCTCTCTTCCCCTCTCGCTGTTATACCAAGGGTTTGCTCTTTGTCTCCTCACTCTCGCCGGCCTCTTCGTTGAGGTCTCCGCGGAGAATTCTACCTCCTTGAGTCGATTCAAGACCAGGTAAGTTTTTTTCTCTTTGATGCCTCATAATTTTTTTTTCATGAAATTTGTGAAGTTTCTCCTTCTTTTTGTTTGTTCTGGATTGAATTATCACTTGGTGTTCTTCAGAGTTGTAATTTTTTGCAGCGCGGAGATGAATTCATGGCTCCTTTTTCTCCTTTTTCTTTTATTAGTAGGCGAAGTACGCCAATTGTTTGAATTTTCATGTAATTGAGTTGCAATTAGTTATAAGAAATTTGGCATGTAACAGTGGGTTGATCTTCCTGTTTCTCCTTTTATTTTTCTGGATTATCTCAACCTTTGTTGTGTTAGTCCATTCTATGTTATGTTGCAATTTAATACTTTTTCTCTTCAGGCCAGGTGCTTCTTCAGGGATACTACTGGGAGCTGTTACATTGCCTGCCGTCATGTTCTCACGCTTGATTCAACTATCAAGAGCAGTCGCATCGTATGATGTTGGAACTGAAGGTATATTTTGAAATCAACTAGACTATTGCTGGAACAGTGTACTAAGTACCAGATCATGTAAGAAATCTTTAAAGTGATTGCGTGTGTTTCATATTTAAATTCTAGCTCAATTCTGCCAGTTTGATATTTACATTCCCGACGACAGTTGACAGTTGAACATAAGCTTTCCAATCAATTTTACTCTAGCTTTTTGTTTGATCAAGTGATAAGCCCGAGCTGAAAGGATTAATGCGTTGAAACATCTCTGGAGAAGACAATTACCACCCCTCCCCAAATACGCACACACACAACGCAGAGAAAAGTACCGTTTGCTTGCTTTTTTTTTTCCCATCTTTGGATTTGGAGTATAAGATGCATTGTCACACAGTTATCTCCGTAAAGAAAGGCCTTTGCCCAATTGTTATGTGGAAGAATGATCTAGGGATTAATGGTACCACAAGAAAGTAAAGAAAAATAAGTGAACACACAAACACAAGAACCTTACATGGTTCAGCAAGATGCCTAAATCTATGGGTGAAGATGATCAAGGAGATTTTACTTGTCAAAAAAGAAAATGATCAAAGAGACTTAGCTATTAAAGCCAAGAGTACAAGAATTCTAAGGAAGACAAGAGAAGCCAAGAACCTGAAAACCGGGATAAAAACTGTGTACTAGAACCCAAAATTGACAATTGTGGAGCACATAGTGAAAACCTCCCATTGGAGGACTGAAGTTGCTCAGAAAAATACCCATTCTTGTCTAACAAGAAACTCTAATGTTAACCTAAAATTCACTAACAGTCATAAACAAGCGCACTTTTTTTTTTTTTTTTTAACTACCTAAACATGGAAGGAAAGAGAAAAAATGAGAGTCAGTTCCCAAAATGAAAACCACTCTCTAAAATGTGTAATGGGTGTGGCTTTTGAGTTCAAGCCATGTTTCAATACCAACTATACGGTGTTGGCTACATAAATCCTGTTTTGCCATTCCACTCTTTAGAAGGCATGTCTTTTGTTAGTTTTATTTTGTTTTTAACTGAAAATCAAGAAGATTTTATTAGTAATCATAAGAGAAGGTAGGGACACCTGTTATGAAGTCTAAAAGCAAACAAGAATGAAATATTTTGTAAAAGAAAATTTTATTATTCACCGAAAAACGTGAGCATTGCAGTTTCAGAAGATAGCATTCGTACCCACAGGAACCCATAAAATGTGAGCATTGCAGTTTCAGAAGATTGTCCCATTATGCAATTTCTAAATACCATTCTAAAGTTGCCAAAAAAGTAGACCCAAAGGTTTCTTTTTATATATCAGAGAATTCTGGATACACAAGAATTCAATACAGAATCATATTTCCCACTATAGAAATGTTCTTTTGTAATTCTTTAGAACATTATAAAAATTCTGTTGTTTCTTTCCTTTGAAATGCACTAAACTACAACAAATGGAACACAACTCCAAAATATCTTAGCCTTCTTGATATCTCGTTGAATTTTATAGGCTGCCATTTACTTCTTCTAAATAGGGAGAAGCCCCAAATGAATTTGGTATAGCTGCATGTAATGAAAAGATGTCTTGCATCTTCTTCATTGCTGTAGCACAAATAACAGATGCTAGGTAGCTTGCAAACCACCCCCTTGGTCCAAGTTACCCCCATTCATAGTTTGATGTATTCTTTCTTATCCTTTACTTTTCTTTCTCTCTTGCTTTATCAGTTTTCTATATTTGACAGTACTATTATTTGCTACAGAGGTTGGGTATCTGAATATGCAATACTGGGCTGTATCTGCAAGCTGTTTCAGTGTGCTTGTTTTGCTACACTTAGTTTCACGGCATTCATCCAGCAATACTGGTTCTTCTTGGTTGGGGAGTTTTCAAGATAGAAAATTTGGCATTATTTGCATACCCTTATATGCAACAGTCTGCTGTATGTCTCTTGCTACGAATTCCCATGGTGGTTAGTTCACAAAACTTGTCTTATATATTGGTTAAAATTTCAGAATTAACATGTTATAGATGAAACAATTAGGCATACTTTTGTACTGAATTCTAAAAGGTTTGGGTTGTTTCCACCTATGGATATATGATTTTCTTTTTGCCTTCCAGTTACAATGCTCACATGATTATTTTTTGTTTAGATAATAGAATTTCATCATCCTTTTGTAGGATTTCATGTGGCAATGGAGTTGCTATGGGTACTTTCCCATGGATTGGCTGCAGTGAAGCTAATTCAGCATATTCTTCACACCTTTCCATCATGTGCTTCAATAGGTACATATCATGTCAGTGGCAAGAAAATAGAAATTTTACAACATTTGAGTGCTCTTGTTATGCTACTGCCTGTAATCTCCTAAACTGATGTAGGAACTTCGATTTTTCAGTTTAAACATGCTCTGATTTTGAATTGAATCTAGGATATGTTATGGAGTATATTTACATATGCTAGGAAAACATGGTTTTCTTTGTATAGCTTGAAATTTGTAGGTTCCCTTCCTAATTCTTGTCTTATTAACCATTATATTAGAATTTAAAATGTATGCATCCAGGAAGATATAGGAATGGTCCAAATAGGTGACAATATGAGGGTTGGCTAAGATAAAATGGTTATCTGCAGAGAAGACTAATGACTGTACCAAGAAGTAACTTGGTGCAAATAGAAGGCTCTGAAAAAGCAAGTTTAAGAGTTAAGACTATATATAGATTGAGGTACTAAGAAATGATCCAAAGATTTTCAACTTGACCATGTTCAATGGTGGAACAGAATTTTGTGGTCAACCTAGTTATTGAGCTGAGTTGAGAATATTCTGTTAGGCTCTTACCATAGTTTTCAATATGTGGAGGCAAGGCGATAGGGGGATGCCTTGCTGCCTAATCACCTAGGCATCGCCTAGACAATGGGATTTTTTTGAATAAAGACCATGAAACCTAGGAGGATTCCCTAGGTTCTAATTGTTTTTTTTTTTTTTTTTCTTTTTTTTTAATAAGAAGTAGAGTATCAATTCATTCAAGAGAAAAGTTCAACCAGAGGCTGTACAAAGGAGATACAAGAATAGATTTAAATCAGAAAACCATTGGGAGATACAAACAGACTTTCAAAATTAAAGAGAGAGCTACAAAAAGAACTGTCAACTTTAAACTTAGTCGATGACCAAGAACAGAGCTTCCCCATGATCTTCTGCCACACTTCATCTTCTTGACAGCTTTTGTTTTGAAATATCCTTGAATTTCTTTCTTGCCAGATCACCCATAGCACTGCTCCTGGAATCAGATGCCATAAACATTTTCCTTTCTTTCTTAGGCCTTGTGAATTCCAGCTGTTGACAAAGTAGCCAAAGATTTTGGGCAGCAACTTCTGATTGCAAAAATTCTGAGAATCCTCACCCAGATTTTGTGAGTGAAGCCACAGTGAAGTAACAGGTGATCAACAGACTCCTCATCATTGTTGCACAAGACACACCTTTTACAGTCAATCACCACACCCCTATTAACCAGATTGTCTCTTGTGGGAATCTTATTTAAATAAGCATTCCAGAAGAAAAAAGATACCTTCGATGGGCTGTGTTTGCACCAGATTAGATGCGTGGGGAAAAACATATCTTCTTCTGGACCAGTTTGGTATAGAAAGATTTCACTGAGAATTGACCTTTGCTCTCTGCTAACCAGACCATTTTGTCTGCTGCATTGACATCAATTTGGTTGTTGTACAACCTTTGAAGAAGCCTACCTAATGGTTCAATCTCCCAATCCTTCAAAGCCCTTCTGAAAGTAGGATTCCAGATAATCATCCCATTTTGTATAGCAAGCAACAACCATCTTTCACTATTAATTGTCTATAATCTTCATAAAAAACATATAAACTTCATTTAAAAAATCAACATATTCATAAAAGAAACTAGAAGAAAATAAACTTCAGAAAATAGAGGGGCTGAGCTTCTATTTTCAGAATATCAATATGTGTTGATTGGACAAAATTTTGAGTTCTTCCATGCTAGTTCAGGTTTTGATGTCTTCAAGGGTTCAAAATAGTATATTGAACCCTAAAAAATAAGAAAAATAATAAAAATAAACTAGTATTTTAATTCAAACTAAATAATTTAGTTTAACAATGCCTGTTTTATTATTATAATCTCAAAAAGTTAAGAATATAAAAGTACCCAACAACACCGTATAAAAAATATTGAGTGAACCCTCCATGAGTGCCTTATAGCCTGTGTCACTTTACATGTTAAGCTACCTTAGTATTATTACCTGATTGTCATAGTTAGGTAGTATATCTTGGAGGCAAGGTTCAAAAAATCGTTACGTATCGGGCCCTTCCCGATACGCCCCTACAGGGGTTGTATTGGGTCAGGGCCTGGTTCAGAGAGTAGCTGGGACTTAAACCGGCCCCTCTGAACCAAAATCAGAAAAAAAAATAAGTGGAACTAAAAAAGGGGGCCGATACTGGCCGTATCGATACTTTGAACCTTGCTTGGAGGTAGTCTCTATTTTATATGATAGTGGGTTGTTTTGGTATCATTTGGTGTAGCAATAGCAGACATGCTTTTGCTGGTTTATTTGGTTTTCATTCGATTGCTAGTAGCATGCTTGTGTTTTATTGGATGGTCGTAAGAAGTTGTTGTGACTGTGAATTCATCAAAACCAAATCACCCAGACATGCACTTAGTGGGCGATTTGGTTTATCCCTTGACTTATAGAATGTCTAGGTTTTTTTAGAGGCCACAAGAAAGTGTTATGGTTATGTAAACAAATCGCTTGTCACTCCACATGTTAAGCTATCTTTATATTTCTTGATATTCTTAGTAAGGTAGTAGATCCTAGAGGTAGTCTCCATTTTATCATATGATAGTGGGCAGTTCATGCATCACTTGAGGTGGCAACAACAAGCATGCACTCATTAGGTAATTTCATCTTTCATTTGATTGATAGACTGTTTATGTCTTATTGGAGGGTTGCAAACAAGTGTTGTGACCATATGGACTAATCTCATTAATCAAAACCAAATTACCTAGCGTGCACTCAAAGGTGATTTGGTTTTAAATTTGATTATTAGCATGTTAATGACTTAGTCAAGGGTCACAAGAAAGTGTTGTAACCAAAGTAAACTCGTCAAAATCAAATCACCTAGGCACACACTCACTAGGTGTTTTTCTTTTGATTGATAGCAATATAGGGAGGCCATGTGAACACATCACAACACATGTTAGGCTACCTTGGCATTTCTTGATTGTCATAGTAAGGTAGTAGACCTTAGAGGTAGTATTTTATTTCATATGTTAGTGAGTTATTTTTGTATCATTTGGGGTAGGAAAAAGGCATGCACTCATTGGGTGATTGGGCTTTTCTATTTGATTGTTAGCATGTCAGTGTTTTATTGTAAGGTTGTAAGAAAGTGTTGTGACCATGTGAACTCATTGAAACCAAATCACACAGGCATGCACTCATTTCGTATTTTGGTTTTTCATTTGATTGATCGCATGTTTGTGTTTCATTGGAGGGTTGCATGAAAGTGTTGTGGTCGTGTGGATTTTGTTCAACATGTTAGGCTACCTTGGTATTTCTAAATTGTCGTAGTAAGATCATAGACCCTAGAGGCAATCTCTATTTTTTCATATATTAGTTTAGTGTGCTATTTGGGGTAGCATGTCTATGTTTGGTTAATAGCATTGGATGATTTGGTTTTTTGTTTGGTTAATAGCATGTCAATGTTTTATTAGAGGGTCACAAGTAAGTGTTGTGGCTATGTGAACACATCGACACCAAATAACCTATGCAAGCACTCATTGGGTGATTTGGTTTTTCACTTCTCCACATGTTAAGCTATCTTTGTATTTCTTGATTGCCAGAGTAAGGCAGTGGACCTTAGAGGCATAGTTTTCAAGGTTTCAAGGTGAGGCTAGATAATCATTTTTTTAATAAAACCCATCTTTCACTATTAATTGTTGCCTAGGTATGGGTTTTTTGAATAAAAATCATGAATCTTAGGGTACTTCCTTAGGTTCCATTAGCAAGCAACAACTATCTTTCGCTATTAATTGTCTATAATCTTCATAAAAAATTTATAAGCTTCATTTGAAATATAGAAAAATCAGCATATTCAAGAAAAAAAAAACAGAAGAAAAGAAATTTCAGAAAATAGAGGGGTTGAGCCTCTGTTTTTTGTCTTAGGAAAAGAAGAAAAGAGACAACAGGGTGAAAGAAGTAATCAATATGTATTAATTGGATAAAATTTTAAGTTCTATGCTTATCAGTTCAAGTTTTGGGGTTTTCGAGGATTCAAAGGCAGTATACATGTTAATTGAACCCAACAAATTAGAAAAATAATAAAAAGAAACTAACATTGTAACATAAACTGAATAATTTAGTTTAACAATGTCTATTTTATTATCATAATCTCAAAAAATTAAGAATGTAAAGTACCCAAGAGCACCATGTAAAAAAATATCTTGGTGATAGAGCGAGGTGTCCCTCCATGAGTGCCTTATCACCTAGGCATCTGCTTAGGCATTGCATTGACAACTATGGTTCTTACTAAAGAAAATATGCAATGGACTAGGTGATAGTACTGAGAAATGACAATTCGTTTAAACACTAGATATTAAAGCATGATACAATCATATTAAATGGCCTATTTATACCCATATCTGTTGCCAAAATCTTAGGAAATAATAGACTTATATCCTGTATCCATGTCTGTGTCAGTATCCATATCTGGATATCTTAATTCATTATTACATGTGGCTTAATCTCTAGCTGCAAAGTTATGTACCACTGTTGTTTGCTAGTCTTTTCATGAAGATGCACTTTCAATTGGTTTGTTGAGTCAAGATGCCTCTTGTTGTCAGTTGTTACCTGGCCAAGTAGATATTCATTTTCTCATCTCAGGTGAGGCACTACTTGTCACTGCGGGCCTTGTTCTCTATTTTGGTGACATGTTAGCATACACTTTTGGGAAGGTTAGTGATGATCATTTTCTGGGTGGTTTGGGTTGTTTTGTTCACCTGCATTTGTGGCAAATTTAATAGATTTTCATTGGAAATATCCTTATTTTGACAGATCATTGCTTATTCAATATCTTCAAGGTTACTTTCTTTGCAATTTGGAAGCAAAAGAAGTGAAATAGGTACCATAATACAGGTACAATTCTGTAAGAGAAGACAATGATAATGGGTGCAGTAAGTGAAATTAATTAGTAATGGCATTCTCTTCCATGCAGGGAGTATTGTATGGCCTTCTCCTTTTTCCTATACTTTACAAATTTATTCTCCAAATTTGGGCACATTTTATAAGTATAGACTACTCTGAAGCTTGTACAGCTGATGAAAGGACATCCAAGGGGATTGGGAGATCTCTTCTTTTCTATGCTTCTCTGGCAGTAACCTTGGTTGTGATTGTTCCTACGTGGATGCAATTTGTTCAGGATTTTCATGTGCATCCGTTGTCATGGTATGAGTTACTTCAAAATTTACTTTGAATGGGCATGTATATTATTTACTTGGAGTTGATTATATTCTTTTAAGTTTGATATTTCAATTGTTTGGCATGCTTTAGTTCTAAGTTTTACTTTTTAATTTTTTTAAAAAGTAAAACATAAACTTCATTCCATAAGAGATCAAATACAACAGTTAAGAGCCGATGCTATCAGAACCAGAGCTAACAAGCTCAACTAACCAATCAGGACAATTACCACAACAGTGTCTAGTCTTAATGTTATTTTCTCTTTTGTTTATCAATATTTTAAATTGGGTAGTCAAACAAAACAGATGAACTTATCATGTACATAAGTGGCATTTGATCTTTCTGGACACGATGTTCTTGTTTAGTTTCACGAATTGTTTTAACTTAGGATCTTTCTGGACTTGCTATATTATTATTTGTTTCATAACTGATGGTGCTGGGAGGGACCATTGCTTGGTGCAACGGTAAAACCTTGGGCTGACAAATGAGAGAACACGGGTTCAAGTCTGAGAGTTATCACTTTGTGCAAAAATGCCAGAGATTAGGTCTATATCCAGGACCAGAATTGGGTAATAACCATTTTTACTGATGGTGCTGAAAAGGACAAAAGCAGGCTTTATAGATGCATGTTATATTGGTCTATCTTCTGATTGATCATAGGTGTAATATAGTCCATGCTGGGCCTGCATGGCACAGTCTTGTCATGCTGCCTGCACTGCACTGTAGTGGGCCATGCCAGCATGACCCAATAAATTAGGGAGGGGGCCCAGCACAGGCTCAGGCCCGTCAACTGGCACAAATTTTTTGTAAAGGAAAAAAACAAAAGAATACATATTTATATATTATATATATGGGCCATGCTGGCCCATGGGCACTCCGGCCCATTTTACACCCATATGACTGATCCTTGAGTTGACAACTGGTGTTTTAAAGATTTTTTTTTCTTTTATTGCTATATATTTTACCCAATGCTTTAGTATCCAGTCAATCCTTTTTCTTGGTTTCAGCAACTAATTTTGCTTTTTTTTTGTTTTTTTTTTTGCTTCTCATGAATATTTACCAGGGTCTTTACTTTTGTGTTCATGGAGCCATTTAAAAGGTTAGCATTATGTATCTACTGGATAGGTGTTATATGCCTTTCGGTGGTTCGGTTCTACAATATCTCAAAGAACAGCAAGATTGAGAGAGTTCTTCTTCGGAAGTATTACCATATGGTGGCTGTTTTAATGTTTGTTCCTGCTATCATTTTTGAGGTGATTTACATATATAGTTTATATATTTTATTTTGTGATTCTAACAAGATACAATTACTAGTATTTTGCTATGATTTTTCTATTTGATTATGCTTTTTTTTTTTTTTTTGTTGCAGCCCAACTTTCTTGACCTAGCATTTGGTGTGGCTTTGGCAGTTTTCTTGGCATTAGAAATTGTTCGTGTAAGTCCCTTAGGTTTTTTCCATAAAATTACGTACTGTAGATGCAGTTACATTAAGATATCATGTAATTTCTGCTCACTCGTGGATTTATATTTGCAGTACTTGCATATGTGTCATCATGGAGTCTTCTATAAGGATTGTTGTGGTGAAAACTATATGGTTCCATTGATGTCAAGAATGTTTTTGCTCAGCAGTTCATTCTCCTATAAATGCATTTACACCTTTTGTCATGTGTCAGTTGGAACTGTAAAGGATTATGATTCTTTAGTTACTATTGTAAGAAATGGATTTAGCAATATATGAAGATAACAATAAAACTTCCTGGATCCCTAGTGTTACCTTCGGGTTTTTTCTCTATTGTTACCTTGGCCCAATGGCTTAAATCTTCGGATTTTTTCTCTAGTGTTACCTTGGATGATTTGCTGAGAAGTTGGAAAGAAGTAGCTAATTTCTGCCCAGGTTAAAAGGACTATAAGTCCTTCCTAGATCCCTCCCCCTACTGGCTTTATAAAACTGAACTTCGATGGTAGTAGTAGAGGGAAATCCAGGACAATCAAGTATTGGGGGAGTCTTTAGGAATGAGGATGGGAATGTTTCAGCAAATTTCTCAGGCCCAATAGGTTAAGACAACTCTCTCAGAGCTGAGGTTTATGCTTCATTGGAAGGAATCCAAAGAGCAAAAGAAATGAAGTAATGAACATAAGGAGGCTTATAATTGAGGGTGATTCGGAGGTGGTAGTGGTTGGCTAAAAGAGGACAAGGATGGTATGTGGAGTTACAGCAACGAAAGGAAAAGATTCAAGTGGCTGGTCAAGGACATTGAGATAAGGTACAACTGGGTGAAGAGATCTGTTAACTCATTTGCAGATGGGTTAGCCAAGCAAGGGGTGCTTAGGGATTCTTTGTTCTGGGCTCATTTTTAGTTCTGTTTTACTGTTTTTTCTTTTGGGCCTCCTGCCTCTTTGGGGGGAGTTAGATAATTTATCTCCCCTGTTGTACTTAAATTCTTTGATGATTAATGAAAGTTTCTAGCTATTGATCAAAAAGAGAAAAAGGATAACAATAAAACTAGCTTTCTAAATGAGTGTTGTGGCCAGTAAATTTCTTACCTTGTTAGAATAGTGGCATGGCTTGTACTTAACATAAGGTTAGCATCTTTAGGGCCGAGAACTTCCTTGAACAGCCTTACAAAGTCTATGTGGGGTTCTGTTGTTTTTTGTGCATTTTCTTCCTGATCTCAAGGACATCATTAGTGAGGATGGTAGAGGCTGGATGTACTTCAATGGGAATGACTCTAGAGATATTTATCATAGTATGATTTAATCATTTAATACAAAATTCCATCCTGTTCATCATCATCTTCATCATCTAAACCTTGCCCCAACTATATGGAGTTAGCTACATTAATCCTGTTTCCCCATTCTGTTTGGTCTAGTGCCATATCTATTGTTAAGTGATGAGCACTTAAATTGTTTCTTACTACAACCCATGTCCTTTTGGTCCGCCCATGGCCCTTTTAGCTCCTTCAACTTGCAACAATTTGCTGCTTCTTATGCTTTTGGTGATTAGTGGATTGATTTTTTCCTTTGTGAAATTATGGGTTGAGGAGTTAATGGGTGGAGCTAAGTGGTCCATTTTTAGTTTTTCAATCTCTAGAAGGCAAATTGCTTAGGTTTTTTTTTTTTTTTTTTATTATTATGTCCAAGGATTGTTATAAGTTTGTGTTGTGAAGAGAACTTAGAAATAGCAATTTAAACAAGAACAACAAGAGAACACAAGATTTATGTGGTTTGGCATATTGATCCTATGTCCACAGAAGATTCCTGCGAAACTTATCACTATTTTTCAATCAACTATAACAACCTTGTGAGAATGCTACTATTTATATCATCAGGTTAGAGTTTCTTTTTGGTATCCTAATTAGGTTACAATTGAAACTGAAATGTTTTCAATACTATGGGAATTGTATGGGCATATTTAGTATAGTATCTGCCCTCCCCCCTCCCTTGCTGGTGCTGTTTCCTTCTCTTTCTTAATACAAGACATTTTTTTTTTGATGAATAACTGTTAACTTCATTGAATTTAAAAGTGTACAAGAGAAGGTGGGTGAGAGACAAGCCCTCTTATCTCTCCCCTTTAATTTTAATTAAAAATTACATCTGTGCCCAGAATGTTAGATTTCTCCCAACCCCTTGCTTGGCTAGTGCATCAGCCATCAAATTAGCTGTTCTTTTCACCCAGAGTATTCTCAGTTCCATGTCCTTTGTGATCCATCTGAATTTTTTCTTCTCATTGTTGTATTTCCACATCCTACTTTCCTCATCAAGTAGCCAAGCGGCCCAAGCCACTACCAATTTGGAATCCCCTTCAATGATTAGCTTTCTAACATTCATGGTTTTAGCCCTTTCTTAATACAAGACATTCATTATCAGCTTGTAGTATGTGCATATTAAATAACCAAAACTTCTATAAGCAGGTATGGAAAATTTGGCCTCTATGGAGAACTGTACATCATTTCATGAATGCATTTACAGATCATCGCGACTCAGATCTTCTTATTGTCAGGCAAGGAACCCCTTCCCTTGATTATACAAAGTGTACTTGATATTCGTTTACAAGATTTCTTCTCCAGTTCTTTTCTGATACTGTTTATTCTTTTTAGCCATTTTTCATTATTACTGGGATGTGCACTTCCTAAGTGGATATCTACTGGATTCAATGATCGACCACTTGCTCCTTTAGCTGGGATTTTGAGCCTTGGAATCGGTGATACAATGGTGAGTGATATTCTGTTACTCGTATTAGTCTATCCCCTTCTGAGGTGTATATTTATTCATGAATAGATGATTATAACCATTTGATCCTTGTTGCAAGGAATAAATCAAACTATCCATTTTTGTAGTCAAATGTTGAGGTGTCTTGGTCATTATATTTTGACCTTGTTTCTTATCTGGTAGATAGAGTTTCTTGTTTTATGTTTCTTTGTATTGGGTTTAAAATATAAGATATTCAAGTTTGATCAGTATTACCTGGATGCCTCCAAGTTTAGATTAAATTCAGCTTAACTCAATTAGGTCCTAATCTAATTAAAGTATTAAACTATAGATTTTCTAGTCTAAATCTCCTATCGAGTATTGATACCAATTTGTTGATGCTTTGATTCAAAATTGGGGTTTGAAAATAATCTAGGAGTGGTTTTACAACCATCAGGAATTTCACTTTGTATCCTGAGTGCTGGTTGGCCATATTATCAAAGTAATTGGGTCTGGAATACCTTCTCGTTGTCCTTGCCTCTCTCTTTGACCAACAACCTAAAAGTAATTTCATGTGGAGGTCCTCCCCCATCAAACATAGCCTTATTGGTACCCACCAGAATTAAAAAAAAAGGTGCTTTGGCTGCCAAGATTGTTGATACAGATGGTGGCCTAAGAAGATATTGAGGTTTTGATTTCATGGAAACTGACAGGCTTGTGAATTTTTTGATGCACTTGGTAGTTTCTTATGTTTTTTTTTCATGAGCAATGTTTCTTTTCATCCATAAGGGTGTACATCTCATGACAATTTCATGTTTTGTAATTGAACTGCAATGACAATGGGTTTGGACTTGTGCTCAGGCATCTATGGTTGGCCACAAGTATGGTGTCCTCAGGTGGAGCAAAACTGGCAGTAAGTACTGCTTCTTTGTCAATGTTATTTGGTAACTTGATAAGATCATGTCTGTGTTTACTCTTAGGGGTACTAAATTGTGCATAAACTACTTCCTCTTGCTAGAGAAAACTGTTGAAGGTACTGCAGCTGGTATAACATCTGTACTTGCAGCTTGCTCAGTTCTCCTTCCTCTTCTAGCATCAACCAGCTATATACTCTCCCAGGTTTTTGTCTCACATAAATCACAACCTTCTTTTATATTCATTATTCTGGTTAGCTCTAACTCAGTCAATTGCCTTGCTACATGGCTTGTGTAGTAGTGTTCAAATAGAAACCCAAAAATATCCATCAAAAAAAAAAAAAAAAGAAAAGAAAACCCCAAAATGTGAAATGCATTGACTGGTTGAATCACTCTCAATCAAGAGTGACTTGGCTGAGTCAATGCTTGTTACTGATTAATGCCTCCAACCTTAGAGGCCATCAGTGCCCAACTGTATACCAACTTTTTCCTTTTCATCTTGTTTTCCACTAAGTGGGTTTTTTTTTTCTTTTTTTTTTTCTTTATGCAGCACTGGATCTCCTTGCTCCTAGCAGTCACAGTAAGTGGTTTGTTGGAGGCCTATACAGCACAGCTTGACAACGCTTTCATTCCTCTTGTTTTCTACAGCCTTCTTTGTCTATGAGCATTGTCCCACTGACCTAAATCCAACATACAAAATTTTCAGTAGGCAACATCGAAAATTTAGAGGAAATTCCAGCACTCTTGTGCTTTCTTGGGCACCATTTTTGCATATATAAGTTTGATTACCCAGCTTGTGACATATTCTGATAACGAGAATACATCCTGTACTGCAAACAGGTAAATTTTCCACTGAGAACATGTGGAATTCTAGTTAGTCACCATACACCCAATTCAATTGTTCAGCCAGTAATAACAGTCTTGACACCCATATCATGCCCCATTAGGAGGGGATTTATATATATTGTAGTGGAGTAGCTAGTTTCTGGATTTTTTATTTAAACTGAGTTCCTCTTTTAGGTGGAAGTGTACCATAATCAATTCTTGTACAGTTTTATTTTCGTGGAAACATTTAAAGGAAAAAGAAAGGTACAGTTTTGTTTCTCTTAGATACTGTGCAATATAATATAATTTGAGCTCATTGTTACGTGATTTTCTCTTCCTGTCAATCAAAACGGTTTCTTTCTTAATTCAAAGTTGAAGCACTTTCTTTATATTAAACTAGTTGTGGTAGGCAAGCTGGTACCATATTCTGAATCCAATTGGGAAGTTATACTGGCATGAATTATAGGTGCATTTAGCCCAGTTCAGGGTTCCTAAACTGAAAGCTGTCCACTGGTTGCATTGTGACAGCGTTGAGACGGTTCAAGCTTTGGTTGGTAGCTGTCGGACGTGAGCTCAACCCTATATAGAATCAAGATTAGCTCCCGAACTAATCTTGATTGTCCAATGGTTGCATTTTTGTTTCACGTAGATTGTCGGTTTAACTAGATGACTGGTTCAAAAAGAAATGGAAATTCTGGGAAAAGAAAAGCAGTCTGTCAGATGACGTCTCTAGATAAATGTACCTGTTGTAAAAAACTAATTACATATACTTTATAAGATGGGCCAAAACAACACAAATGGGCCATTTATATACATCTGTTGGGAAAATATTTAAGGCCATTTAAAATGGCCATTAAATTGTTTGTAATCCCATTTTCTCTTTTTTTCCTCCCTCTCTTCAATCTCTTGGTCAAATGAACCACGGAGGCGGCGGCAGCTCCTCATCTCTCTCTCCTCTCCTCACTCAATAAGAGAGGTTGAGGGAGCCATCAAAGTTCAAAGTATCGATACGTATCGTGCCAGTGGCTTACCGATATGTCCTTTCAGGGGTTGTATTGGATCAGCCATCAGTTTAGAGGATAGCTGGGGTTGTATCGGTAGGGCGTATTGGCCTGTGTTGATACTTTGAACTTTGGGAGCCATTCCTCTTCTCTCACCCTCTTTCTCTTCATCCTCTCCTTCTTGTGTTTACCAATGGGCCAAAAGATGAAAACTTGAAAAGGAAATGAAAAGGAATAATCAATTTTGATTAACTACAAGGGGAACATCTAAGATGATAGAGAAATGTTTTTGTGGTTTTATAAAAAATGAAAGGGACAAACCACTTAAAATGCAGATTTCGTTGTTGCCTTCACCAAGGTAGAAGAGAAGGAATATGGCATATTTTAAAAATTCAATGAACAGTTAAGGACATTTTTGTCTTTTACATTTTATATGTTAGGCTTAACCTTTGAAATATAGGGTATATAAGTAATTATCCCTATTTTATTTTCAAAACCTATTTTGCCCTTTATCATTAAAAATCAAATAAATAAATAAACAACCAAAATTGGAAAAAAAAAACTGAAATCCAATATTCCCAGTAATCCAGCTTTGCAATTTGATAAAGAAGGAAAACTAAAAGTCTAAAATTCAAACTAATAGGAACAAGAGAGATAAAGTCTTGAAACAAGCCGAGATGAGAAATCTCCTTTTAATCGATCTATATATCACCATTGACATCGGCCTCACGAATCATCTTATCAACCTCATCATCTGTGAGCTTTTACCAAGGTTAGTCGTTAAATTGTAGAACTTACATGGTGTTTGGAAGCATGGGCGCTTTTGGGACCGATTATCAAGAAAAAACGTCCATGCTTTCAAGACCCGTTTTTCACAAAAAAATGTTTTTATCATGCAGGCAGTGAGCAACACTATGATGTTTGGTAAGTACCGTTTTTCATGTGTGTGCTGACAGGTAGGCACCACATAGGATACACATCAGTCAACCATTAGGGGAAACGGTTCACCGATGCATGAAACACCAAATTTGGCGTTTCATGCATCGGTGGGGTTCCGATTTTCGAAACATGCCCGATTTTTTAATAATCGGCTGAATCAAACAATGAGATACATGGGCATTTGTTGAAACACCTATGTGGATCTGACGTGGCACCATTTTTTTGAAAAACAGCCACAGTTCCAAACATCCCCTTGCTTTTGCAGAAATGAAACCAATTTAATCTTTGTCGAACACCCTGTAAGCATTGTTGACAGGGGCAGAGCTACGTGTATTTCAGTGGGGTCAATTGACCCCACTCAAATTCAAAAAAAAGTTCATATATTATTTTAGGCTTTTTCAGCCCACTTTTCCATATTCACCCCAATCAAATTAAATGAAAATATAAGTGTGGGATCAACTTTTCCATATTGACAGAAATATAAGTGTGGGATCAATTAGGCATGTTATTTGGACTTAAATTAATTGAGTTTTAGACTACATAAACTCACTAGTGAATGATTCCATACAAAGTACGGGGAATAAATTTACATTATGGAATTAATAATGTCAAATTTATATTTATTAATATTTTAAATAATTATTAAAATTTCAAGAAATATTTAATTTAAAAAATATTTTTTCAATAATTATTAGAATATGAATAGTTTTCTTTTGTTATGATACATAAAAGGTTAATGATTAATTGAGATTGATAGAATATAGGCAGAAGTGGTTGTGGATAGCCACTTTTGCATTTTTTGGGATAGTTTTTTCCTACAAAAAAAAAACACTTATTTAATAAGAACTTAAAATAAACTAGCCCAGGGTTGCTTATTTTTTAAGCACTTAATTTCAAAATATGCATTTATTTTGGGCTTTTTTGGCCAAGCATGAATAAGTACTTATCTTCTGCTTATTATGTGGTTTCACCACTTATTTTAAGTGTTTATTTGAGTGCTTAAAATAAGTGATCTCAAACAGGATTCTAGTTGTAAATCCCTTAACCTCCTCGGTTTTCTAAAAAGGTCTTGAACCTCCCCTCAACTTTGATCTACTCTTAGGCCTCCCCCTCTATTACTTTACTATTAGAAATCTAACAACATCCACTAATGTCGTGGATTTAAACATATTATTATAAGGTTAATTTTGCCCTTGTGTAAAATCATGAAGTGTTTTATGACTGAAATACCCTTAAACCTTTAACACCCTTAATTATTTAACCAAAACAATGCAATACCCTTAAACCTCTCTTTACCCAAAAATGGGTTTGTTTATGGTTTTAAAAAATATGAAATACTAAAACATATTTATCATATTAAAATTTTAACAATAAAATTGGAATTAGGAAAAATCTACTAGCTTGACAAGAGAAATTAGTATGGGCATAATAGACATTTAATGCCTTTGCCCACTTAATAATGGAAGGGATCTATAAGTCCCTTTATCCTCAAAAGTCGAGAGGATTACAAAAAACTTAGGAGTGGTTTTAGGGATTTACCCTAAAGGAAATGACCTCTTCATTTGGGTCGAGATCTTCTACAAATGCGGAGGACTATACAACAAATGAAAAATCGTATATATGTTATTAATACAAGGGCATGTGTAATGCACATGTAAGTAAAGGGTAAAGATATAAATATTGTATAATCAAGTTTAAGTTTTATGGCTTGTACCAGAACCAAGGCAATTATCCACTTTATATAATGATGTGTAATGTATATATGCTTTGCATGTGACAATTCTAAATGATGATAATGATAATAATAATGTATCCCAAATTTTCTATAAACTTTAAGTATTTTTTTTATTAATTAGATATAGATTGTAAAATCCAAATCTAATTACATAAATAGTTTATCCAAATATGTGATAATCGAATCGAATTGTGAAGTTTCAAGTATCATTGACAGGCCTACCTATTTGCCTAGACTCTTTTTTTTTATAATGCTTTATCTTTTTGGTATATCTTTTTTTTTTTGTTCATTTACCAAAAAAATATAAGATTTAAATGGGGGAATTGAATGAGGTGAAAAATAGAAGTTCAATTTATAATTTAAACCTTACAATTAAATAGGGACTAAATTCAAAAATGAGTATTTTAGTAAAAAATAATGTTCCAAAATATTATTCATATTTTTAATGGTACTATAAATATAGAATTATAGATGTATTCAATTTTTTCTATAATTTTTTTGTATTTCTATGTGTAAAAATAATCATGATATGTCACACTTACATTTTGTTTAATATGATAAATATATGATATTATACATGTGTCTGAATATTTTTTCGTAAAATTTATGTATTTTTATATTTTATTAAGTTTTATTATTTATTTATGACATTAAAAATGCATTTGACCCAAAAATTGAACTATTGATCTTTGTTAAATAGTAAAATAATTTCATTTTTGGTCCATTCTAAATTATGAATTTCATTTTCATTATTATTAAAAATAATTCTTGTTTTTTACACTTATTTTTTAATTTGATTAATAAAAATATCATAAATGTGTATAATTTTTCTACATTTTTGTAATTTTCTATATTTATTTTTATTTTAAAAAATTTATTATCTAACTATGACTTCATAGGTTGATCATTTTGATTTAGATGGTTGAATTTCTTAGCCACCACTTGGATAAATAATAGTTTTATTTTTGAGTTAGTTTTAAAATATATGGGTTTATATTGTTAGAAATGTTGATATAGATCTAATTAGTAGAATTTATTAATGGAAAATAAATTAAATATAGGATTTAATAAGAGAAAATGGGAGTTAATATCTTAATTATAAGACTTAATGAAAGGAGATTAAATGAGGTGGAAAGTAATAATTGAAGTTACATTTTCAACCCTTACAATTAGAGATGGACTAAATACACAAACATGGGCATTTTAATAGTCATTAAATTTGACATTAAAGTTGTAATAAAAATAACTTGTATACTCTTTCTCAAACAAAGAAATATAGGGTAATTTTAGTCTAAAAAAAATTCCCTCTACATCTACACTTATAGATATATTAGACCTGACAATTGGGTTGGGTGGGTCAGGTTTGGGTTAGGGTTGACCCACAAGTCAATTCAGGTCATCATTCTCAAATTCAGGTAGCTAAGTATGAGATCCTAACCTTGTTTTTTCAGGTTGGGTTGGGTCAGATTTGCAAGTTAGGTCAACTTTTTGCCTAGTCTAAGAAATATATTAAGATATAGGATAATTAATTATATCTTTTTCCTCTTCTTTTTCCCATTGGTCCCACTACAATGCGCCATTCTGTCTGCTGGATCCTCTTCTCTCCCTCTTCCTCCTCCTTTCTTCCTCTTTTGTTCCCTGCAAGTTTGACTGGTTTGACTATTAAAAGGCAATGGGAAAATATCAATTTTGATTAATTTTTACATGGGGCGCACCTAAGAAACTAGATAATGGAAAAAAATAAGGGGCAAACAGCCCGAACAAAGAATGTTTGGACCAAGTGGTGTTTGCAATGGTGAATAAGAAAGAAGACAGAAAAAGAAGAAATAGAGAAAGAAATGTCTATTGCAGCTCTAAAGCACTACCATTGTTTCTCAGTGGTGTCTGCAGCGGCAAAGAGGAGAGGAAGAGAAAAAGAAGAAAGACAGAAAAAAAAAGGAAAAGAAGAAAATAGAAATAATGACATGCTTTAAAAATGTAATGAACAGTTAAGGATGCTTTATTCCCTTAAGCTTTATTTGTTAGGTTGTTTGGCTGGTTGATAAGGTCTCTTCTTGGTTGTAAGGAGACTTGGGATTGAATCACACTTGCACCAAGGTTCAGGGGGATTATGGGTTGGGGGGATGGGCTGCCCTTGTTGTGTAGCCCCATGGATCCAAAAAAAGTTCAAAGTTATATATAGGTTTCAAAACTGCAGGGTATATATAAATAGTTTCTAAAATTCAGAAAGCCAGAGTAGAACCGTAAACCAAAATTTTTACACCTGCCTATCATCATCATCATAGGGAAAAAAGTTCCACATTTCTCTAGGAATCAGTTCAGGAACCAGACTGTCAAATGAATCAATTTTTTCAATCTTCTATCCAACGCCAGAAGAGAAAGTTAATCCATTTGTCATCATTTATTTAGGCTGTATTTGGTTGCAATGCAAATAAATTTGTATTGATGTAAAACCATGACAGTGCAAGTGATTTGAGTGTAAATTTTGATATGTTTTTATTTTTATCTTATTTTGTTTGATTGCAGTACAAATAAAGTAAATTAAGACATGAAGCAGAATAAAGTAAAATCCAAAACAAAATTAAACAAGAATTTGCATTTTTTCACATATGCACTCCCATACATTTGTAGTAGTGCAAATAAATTTGCATTGCAAACAAACACAGCATTAATTACTTGTACCCTCCCATTCCAACGCCAACTGATTCACCGAAACCCAATCCTCCTGGCGATATGAGGGTTTCCATCAATAGATCCTGCCAAGCAAATGGTATTATAATATTATGGTAAGCCATCACCATTGCACAGGAATAAGAAACTAATTGCAAACCTGACTGGTCACTTCGTCCAACAACTTCCACTGGCGAGTGGTGACTGGCCATTTACAAAATGCATGGAAACCCTGTTTTCGTCGATTCTGGATCTGCTAGCAACCCATTGCTGGTCACGTTCACTCAGCCGCACATCAAGAACATCGGTGATAATAAAATACAAGAGATGTTCCCGATATGTGGCTAGGTGAACGCCGCCAGCAATGTGTTGTGGTCACTGGTCAGAAGACCCGAATGTGTTTTCGTCGTTCCACCTAACTTTAGTTGCCAGTCATGTAGCCCAGGATTTATCTCACCCATAACGGTTTAAGATTTTGATTTTTACAGTTTCTGATGCATTGATGGATTATACAACCAATATAAGAATGTAAGAATACAAATCAAGAAAGAAACTTATCTAAAAGTTCCCATTCCCTTTTGTACAGAGGTAATCAGATTTTTTTTTTCTTTTTGACAAGTTAGCTTTGGTTTACTTGGTCCTTCCTGGACCTGTTGATAAGCTTATGTATGGACTATGGAGGAGAAAGAGAGCTTCATCTTTTGTATCCCTATGGAGAACAATAAAAGCTGCTATGCACATTATGCTTGTCCTGGTGGTCTAAATTTGTCGTACAAACTTCCCAAACCGATGTCAAACTTCGCCACCAATTCTGTCATCTGACAGTGAGGAATTTGGTCCAACTTCATCTGTTGATGGCAACTCTTTCTTGTCAAAGCCAAACAAGGAGTTCTGAAATGTATCAAGACTGCTCGCTAAAAAACGGTTCAATCCACTGAAGCTAACACTGTCCCCGAAAATCAGATCTTGTTTGTAGCATCTAGATGAAGGTACATCCAAATCTAAAGGTCCCAAAGAGTCTGGCTGCAATTTGTAACATACCAAGAAAGACCACAAAGTAAGATAATCTGTGGGAATCCAACCAGAGAAAAAGAATGTGGGTAGATGTTTAAGATTTAGTCCATGTACCCAATATATATCTGTAAGTTCACTGAAATCATTTGCAGAATTCTTTGGACTTAGGTCCTTAGAAGAATTCTCTGGACTGAGTCCCTTTGGAGAGTTGTCTGGACTGTAGGCATCAGACTGACAATCATCCACCGAGTCTCCTTCACAGGCAGAATCATCTATTGGTCGTACCTCAGGCAACTCCTACAGAAACCAATCAGTTTCACCTTGTGAGCAATTCTTGCTTCAACCAAGCAGTAAGAGAACACTTGAAAGGGAATGTGGAAGTACAACCTCGATCAAGGCCCTTAAACTCATAGAACTAGTACAGGAAATCTGTTTGCAAGTCCCAAATGACGCATGTTGGGATGGACTCCGAACCTCCTGATCAAAAGTGGGCATCTTTTGAAATGAGAAGGCATCACGTGTTTCTTCAGCATCCCAGAGGGATGTTGCATGGGAAACCTGAGCTGATTTTAAGTTTAGCTTTTCTTGATGAGCAGCTATATGAGCAGCAATTGCAGCATCAAATGAATCACAACTAAATGGGATTTGCTGAAAATACTGAGAACTTCCCAAAGAATGTGGGTCAACGCAGTTGTTATCTGCAGCACGAGATGCTTCTGAGAGTAGGTCTCCAATGCTTATGTTGGTTAGGCCGTCAGCCCACTCCCCAGCCAATAATGCTGTGCTATTATTGCTCATTCTCAAATTGTCCTGGAAACAATGCAAGTTTGAAGGAATATCTTATAAAACGTTTAACAGGTTTATTCATAATCTGTCATTCCATTTGAAAGTAATAGCATGTTCAATATTTTCATGTTTTTCAACTAAACTATAAATCAAAAAGACATTTTCAACAAGAATCATCATCTAAGTTTTTTCCCAACCATATGGGGTCGGCTACACGAATCCTGTTTTGCCATTCTTTTCTGTTCAGTGCCACATCTGTTGTTAAATGCTGTGCTATTATTACTGAAGTTTTAGTGCCCTGAGAGTTGGGCAAAAGTTTTAGTACTGGCTGCCAACCTGATGCAGCCCTATATGTCCTCGTACAGTTGGGACAAGGCTTAGATGATGATGATGATATTTATTATTAGACCACCAAATCTTTCAATTCTAGAGCCTTGCGTTCCTACAATCACCCAAGTATGATTCCATTGTTCATATCCCAAAAGTAAAAGCTGTTTGAATGACATAATCATAATCATGGAAGAACTTACCATTTCTTCCCATTGTCCCTTGACAATTCCACCTCCAATTTCCTTTTTGAGCCATGATGAATTAGCTGAGGATACTGGAAGACTGATCTCTTGATCTTCAGCACACCCAATCACGTCCTCACAACAATCAGCATGCAAGGGTAAAATTAAGCTGCTCTCTGTCATTAAGGTTACCCGATCCTTGAAGCAATCTAAGAGATGCTCCGAGTGGTGACAGGTAGACAGTATAGGTAATGTTGCATCCGTACTCTCCTTAATATTTGACCTATTTATACTTGTATGCTGTTCCTGGATATGGTAAGATGATGATGCACGGCAAATTGACTCAAGATCTGTACTGGAGAACCAACCATACCTACAAAGAGAAATTGGTAAATCAGTAGTTGTTTTAGTTAGTTGCTTGCATTATGCAAGCATTGCCAATTATTCCTCTTTTTTTTTGGTGAAAAGCATCGTCAAAATAGGAGAACTAAGAAGAAACCTCAAGCGGAAAACTGGAGGACTTCCAATCATTGCATATACATCTGCTGCACTGGCAACAGTGTCCTGCTTCCATCTTGGATAACCCATTAGGTTCTCCCTCTGAACACTGTATGGGAAAAGAATCAGATCCCCAGATGCTATGCCTGAATTTCCCCACTTGCGATTTAGATGCTCTAGGACCGAAGATATCTTCTTCCGTGCACTTAGAGTGAGCTCCAAGTGTGGATTGTGTTCATCCTATGATTGACGGGAAGACATGACAGTTATTAGCATAAAAGTTCGTATATTTTTTATGATGGATCTAAAAGTCAGTACATGGTTCAAGCTTCTAAACATTCTTTGCCAGATCAATATGTTTATAGTTTTCATGTTTACATTCTTACCTTTTCCAAGGCCCTTCTAGTAACTTCATCAATTGGAAACAATTGGAGCTTGAGTTTCAGAGATTGTTGTGCACCAGAGTCTGTAAGCTGCTGTACTGAAGTTGACATAGACAAGGGGGGACGAACTCCTACAGGGTCACCCTTTTGTGCTGAGACACAAGGGGAACAGAATCAATAACTGGTAATTTCCCATTTTATTCTTGCCTTGCATTTCCATTCAAGAACTTACCATTAGCAGGATCCACTGGTCCGGGAAATGGCTTGATCAAAGTTCCTTCTTCAGTGCAATCCTTTTTGTTGGTTGTTGACCGCTCCAGATGCTCTGCAGCATCTGCGACCAAGGAAACCCCAGCCATTGCAGCTTTTTCCCATCTTTTATATGCAGCAGGTGAAGCACCTGCTAGATATAACCAAGATATTAAGGGCACCACCAAACAAAATTAATTTCAAGCAAAAGTAAAATGTTAAGAGATAAGAGGTCCATTAAGAGTTAACGGACGACCCCAAAGTCTTCTTTACTTTTATTTATTTATTTGGGGATGCTGAAGTAAATACCCAGGAAAGGAACTAAAAAACTAGAAGAGTATTCAAATAGAATAATGGAAGCTTCCAACTACCATTGACATCCATGTAACTAGAAAAATGAAATGACAGCACATCCATAAATACAAAAGCTGCAGTGGAAAGGGACCAAAGGTGGATTTCGAAATATGTACATTGCAAGACATTGGAATTCCAACCATTACAGAGAAGAGTTATTGACAAATTTGCATACAACATAGATCTGTATCTAATACATGACAAGTTGACAACCTAGTATATCATGAAATCACTTTTGCTAGCAACTAAGGTTGAGAATTTTGTTGACTGTGACAATTTTTGTAGCCAATCATAGATCATCATCATCATCATCATCATCTATGCCTTATCCCAATTATATGCGGTTGGCTACATGAGTCCTGTTCTGCCAATCCATTTTATTTAAAGCCATACCCACTGTTAAATTATTAATGTTTAAATCATTTATTACTACTTCTACCCATGTCCTTCTTGGTCTACCCCTAGCTCTTCTAGCCCCTTCCACTTGTAACAAGTCACTTCTTCTAACTGGAGCTGTTGGTGGTCTTTTATGCATGTAGCCACATGACCAAACCATCTTAGTTTACTCTCTTTCATTTTATCACTTATTGGAGCTACTCCCAGGTTTCTACAGATGGCTTCATTTCTGATCCTATCCTTTCTAGTTTTTCCACTCATCCATCTTAACATTCACAATTTCTGCCAGACTCATTTTCTGAACATGTTGTTTATGGATTGCCCTTACTTTGCTTCATACAACATAGCTGGCCTTATAACTGTTTTATAGAATTTTCCTTTTAATCTAAATGGTATTCTCCTATCACACAAATAGATGCACTCCCTCCATTTTTCCCAACCTGCTTTATTTCTTTGGGTGACATCTTGTCAATCTCTCCCTTGTTATGAATTATTTGAACCAAGGTACTGAAAATGGTCACATTTGAGTTATCTCTTGGTCTCCAATCTTAAGTGTATCCCGATTTACACTCCTATTAGCCAGTCATAGATATGGTAGTGAAATTGCAAATACATATTGCTGTTTAAAACCCACAATATTTATGATATACCCCCCATATTTTCTTTTTTTTTTTTTCAAAATGGAGAAACTGTATCAATAGAATGCAAAGTTTCATATACTGATAATATTTCAGGGATATATCCCTACCCTAAATATGAGCAACTTTTTTTGAAATAAATAGTAACAATATTTTAAACGCCTAAGATTAATGTCAATATATTGGATTAGGGCCAAATAGAGTTGCCCAATATTTGAGGAAATATCATCATAACGAGATTCCCAGTTTCCCACTATAACTGCATGTTTTGTAGTAAAGACAATTATGCAAGAGTTGTATTTGGAACAGCTGACTATATTGTGTAGCTAATCTTATATATGTTTTTGCACTTTGCACTGTATGGTTATTCCAAATAACACACTCAAATTAAATGTAATGACTCAAAACTTCTTTCTAGGACCCAGGGAAATCTACTTTAATTCATTTTGTTGTTATAAATAGATATGCTTTATTAATTTTTTAGCCTGAATATTTAGTTGTAATTCTTTCAAAATTCCCTGAATTTCTCATTATAACATTCATGTTTCATTTCAATATTTTCTAAATTCGAAGTTTGAAAAAAAAAAGAGAAATAAATTTTTAGATATCAATCATCTCTAGCAATATCAAAACTCTTGGTCTTAGTCCAAAGAAGGGGATTTTAGGCAATGGTTGAATATGGAACTTTTGAAGCAACCTTTTTCTTTCTCCTCTTTGAATAATTCTATTCTGATTGTATCTCAATAAACCTGAACAAAATAAAATGACTTTAGGAAGGCCATTATGCTGGGAGAAGATTAAGAAAATCCAAGTGCAAGCAAATATAAAGAAGATGATATTCTTGATAGTATGGCCGACCAAAAATAAGAGGAAGAGAAGAGAAGAGAAGAGGAGAAGAAGAGAAGAGAGAAGAGAGAAGGGTTTTGCAATGTAACAGTGCTAGCAGCGCCAGCCTTTATTTTAATATATATAGGACGACAGAAATAAGAAGGGAAAAGACCCTTGTGCCCCTGAGTACAATAACATACATAACAAAAAGAAAAAAAAACGAAATAAAAGAAACACTTTAACTAGCCAAACAGACCCTAACATCAACAACTAAATTATTTTAACGCTCCCCCTCAAGTTGGAGCATAGATGTCAATCATGCCCAACTTGTCACACAAATCTTTGTGCCGCACATGATGAAGACCTTTGGTGAATATCTACAAGTTGTTCTTCTGAGCTGACATATGGTGTACATACTTCTTCACTTTCAAGTTTCTCTCTAATAAAATGCTTGTCCACTTCAATGTGTTTCGTCCTATCATGCAGGACTAGATTAGCAGCAATATTGATGGCAACTTTATTGTCACAGTAGAGTGACATAGGATCGCTCACTACGAAACCCAGTTCACCTAACAGATTTCTTATCCACATGATTTCCGCAACCCCATGAGCCATCGCTCTATACTCTGCTTCAGCACTGGATCTAGCCACCACACTTTGTTTTTTACTTCTCCATGTGACCAGGTTTCCTCCTACAAAGGCACAATACCCACTGGTAGACTTTCGATCATTGACTACTCCTGCCCAATCTGCGTCAGTATATACTTCCACCTTTAAGTGATTGTGTTTCTGGAACAACAAACCAGCTCCAGGAAACTTCTTAAGATATCTCAAGATCCTCTCTGCAGCCTCAAAGTGAGTTGTCCTAGGGCTGTGCATGAATTGACTARGGACACCCACTGCATAGGCAATATCAGGCCTGGTCATAGACAAATACAAAAGTCTCCCCGTGAATCTCTAGAACTTCTTTACATCTTTCAAGCATTCTCCCTGACTGTCTCCCATATGATGATTAGGTTCAATTGGTGAATCAAATGGTTTTACCCCCAACTTGCCTGTATCTTCTAGTAGAGGCCCTTGTGAGAGTGGGCAACTTCAATTCCAAGGAAGTAACATAAGAAGCCTATATCCTTCACCTCAAATTGAGTGGCTAAGAATTTTTTAGTCTCCGGATTTCAGCCTCCCAATCTCTTGTGATCACTATGTCATCCACATACACAATAAGAGTTGCAATTTTACCTTCACCTCTTTTAACAAATAGAGTATGATCTGACTGGCATTGTTTGAACCCCATCTGTTGAACTGCTAAATGGAACTTACCGAACCAAGCCCGAGGTGATTGTTTCAACCCATATAGAGATTTTTTTAACCTGCACACCTTTTGTTCACTGCCTTTGGCACAAAACCCTGGGGGTTGGGTCATGTACACTTCCTCTTCCAAGTCACCATTCAAGAAAGCATTTTTTATGTCCAATTGGTTAAGTTCCCAGTCAAGATTTGCTGCCAAGGAAAGAAGAATCCTGATAGAGTTCATCTTGGCTACTGAAGCAAAAGTCCCTGCATAGTCCACTCCATATACTTGTGTAAAGCCTCTTGCTACCAATCTAGCCTTGTACCTTTCAACAGTTCCATCAACCTTGTGTTTCACTGTGAACACCCACTTGCACTCCACTGGTTCCTTCCCTTTAGGAAGGTCTACCAACTCCCAAGTGCCATTTTTGTGTAAAGCATCAATTTCTTCCTGCATTGCATCTGTCCATTCAGGTTTAGACAAAGCTTCTGCCACAGTCTTAGGAACGGGGACACTGTCCACAGAAGAGAGGAAGGCATGGTACGAAGGCGAAACATGCTCATAGGACACAAAATTAGAAATATGATGATTAGTGGTACAAGACCTAACACCCTTTCTCTTAGCAATAGGAATATTAAGATCATTGGTAACAGGTGAATCAACATTTAGAGGAACAGACATATCAATAGGAGCAAGTGTACCTGGCTGATGAGACGGATCTGCCTCGAGTGAATCTGATGATGTTGGTTGCATAGTGTCAGGTTCCACGGCTCTTGAACTCTGCTGGCTCTTATGGCGACGATGAAAAACCCGGAATGGAGGAGGATCGGGTAAAGGAGGTAGTTGAATTTGAGTTGTCACCTGTTTCTCCTCAACCCTACTCTCCCCCTGAGGAGAAACCGAGAAAAAATGTTGATTCTCAAAGAATGAGACATCAATGGAAACATAGTACTTGCAAGCAATGGGATCATAGCAGCGACACCCCTTTTGAGATAAAGGGTAACCAAAAAAAAACACACGGAATAGCCCGAGGATCAAGCTTACCACGAGTAGGGGACAGATTATGGACAAAGCAACGACACCCAAAAACACGCATCGGAATGGTGAACAACGGGGCTGCAGGGAACAAAAGCTGATGTGGAGCCTTATACTCTAGTAGTCGAGAGGGCATGCGATTGATGATATACGTAGCACACAAGACTGCATCCATCCAAAACCGTTTTGGCACATTCATATGAATCAATAAGCCACGAGCGACTTCGAGAAGGTGGCGGTTCTTCCGTTCATCCACACCATTTTGTTGGGGTGTCCTAGCACAAGAGCTTCGCTGAATTGACCCACTCGAAGCAAAAAACTCCGTGAGATCACTATGGAAATATTCCTTCGCATTGTCCGACTGGAAGATATGGATTTCTGCTTGAAACTGAGTGAACACCATGCGTTGAAAATCTTTCACAATTTGTGGCACTTCATCTCGAGATCGCATAGGGTAAACCCAAGTGTATCTAGAATAATCATCAATCAAGGTAATGAAGTACTTATAACCAGCCTCAATGGTAGAGTAACAGGGCCCCAAACATCAGAATAAACAATATGAAATGGAAATTCAGATCTTTTATTTCGCAAAGGTAAAGAACTTCTACAATGCTTACTCAAYTGACAAGTTTGACATTGTAACTGACTCACTGACAAGGACTCAAACAACTTTGGAAACATAACTTTTAACGACTCAAAAGAAAGATGACCTAGACGACTATGCCATAAATAAGCTTGACTCTCACTTGGCGAACTCATGGACTCTGTCGCCACAAGACCAGCATTATTCTCCAACACGTAGAGACCATCCACCATGCTTCCTCTACCAATCGTCTTCCCCGAGGCCAAATCCTGAAACACAAATGAAGACGGAAAAAAAGTGACTGAGCAATTCAAGGAGTGAGTTAGAGTACTAATGGACAACAAATTAATAGGTAATTTCGGAACATGTAGTACATTAGGAAGGGTAAGGCCAAGTGGGAGAGGTATGATACCTCGGCCAGCTATGATAGAAAAAGAACCATCAACCAGTCTTACCTTATCTCTCCCAGAGAGAAGGTTATATGTCTGAAACAAATTTGACTTACCAGTCATGTGGTTTGAAGCTCCGGAGTCAATAATCCAAGGAGAATCAGTAGTATGAGATGACACATGGAAGGCTGTGGCATTACCTGATGTAGACGCAAACGAGGTAGAGGGAGTAGGACCAGAATCCATCTGGCGGAGAGTCCTACCATACAATTCCAAATGTTCACGAAAAGAGTTGATAATATCTTCCTTAGGGTCAGAACTGGGATGCCTCTCCTGAGTTACCAAAGGACTAGTCTCTGTTGACGCCATATTAGCCGAGTTATACCTTTTTTGATTCTGCTGGTCTGGTTTCTTGCCCTGATCAGGTGTTGACTTCTTACCCAAATCCTGTGCCCATTTAGGTTTTCCATGGAGATCCCAACATGTATCTTTCGTGTGTCGTGTCTTCTGGCAGTGAGTGCACCAAAGTTTGCTCTTATCATCTGTTTTTTTTCTGAGTGTCACCCTTTTTAAAACCACCTCCGACATTTGTATCTGAATTTCCCTGGACAGCTAGGGCAACTGACTCCCCTTCTACACCATTCATCACACTTCTGCTTTCTTCTRACTGCACCAAGGCATACACCTCCTGAACTAATGACAAGTCTTTACTACCCAAGATCTACACCCTGATCGACTCATACGAAGGATTCAGCCCTAGGAGGAAGGCAAAAACTCGTTGCTGAGATACAAGTGGCTTATAGGCCTTTGCATCTTCATCACACTTCCAATTCACATTCCGATAGTGATCAAGTTCTTTCCATATTGATGTCAAATCAGAATAGTACATCGAGAGACTCCTCTCCCCCTGCTTGCAAGTAGAGGATTCAGCTTGCAGTTGATATATCTTGGCATAGTGTCTCTGCTCTGAATAGGTGGACTTCGCTTGTTCCCATATCTCACAAGCAGTTTCAGCCCACATAAAAGTCTTCCTTACTTATGGCAGCATTGAAACCAAGAACCAAGACATCACCATACTATTCTCTTGGTTCCACCTATCATACTCAGCACTTCCATACTTTGGTTCCTTCTCTCTTCCATTGATGTATCATATTTTCCCCCTAGCAGTGATGTAGAGTTTTATTCCCCTAGACCACTCAAGGTAGTTCAGACCATCAAAGGGAATAACAGCCATGGGAAAGCTCATATCCATTCCCCCACTCACTCCATTGTGGCTCCCTGAAATCTCTGAAGTAGCAGAATTCTCAGATGACATGGTCACACAGATAATCAGTCCCAAACACCGGACTTAGGATCCCTCCTTACTCCACAAAACAATGCTCCACTCAGTCCACACCCACACACTTGGGTTTAAAAAACCCGGTTGAGCACAAACAGTACCAAATCCAGGACAAAAGAGAGGTAGTATTCGGCAGATTTCAGACCTATACAGTTTTAACAGTCCCAACCTACCAAAATTCCAGAATGTCCAACAGCCATTAATCGGCAGGAGAGATCCTTATCACTTATAATCCAATCGAATCATTGAGATGACAGGCCATCCTTGGCCTACAGTTGTCTTAACATATGAACAGGATCACACGATCCAAGAAAAACAGGGGTATACAGATTGATTCGACAGCATTCAGCCGCCCAGATTCATATGGTTTTCACTCGGTACATGACCAAGGAAGGTAAAGAGGAGAAAACGGGAGAACTGTACCAGTTGTAGAGCTGTTTTTTCAGTCCAAATTCAGATTTCTGTTCCGCCCAGGTTCAGCAAGTCTATTCGATCTGTTCTCTCAGTAAAGGTTGTTCAATCTGCTCTCTTTAATCAGTATTCCCGCTCTGATACCATCTTGGCAGTATGGCCGGCCAGAAATAAGAGGAAGAGAAGAGAAGAGAGAAGAGAGAAGGGTTTTGCAATGTAACAGTGCTGGCAGCGCCAGCCTTTATTTTAATATATATAGGGTGGCAGAAATAACAAGGGAAAAGACCCTTGTGCCCCTGAGTACAATAACAGACATAACAAAAAGAAAAAAACGAAATAAAAGAAACACTTTAACTAGCCAAACAGACCCTAACATCAACAACTAAATTATTTTAACAGATACAATTTTATTTTATATTATTTTTCAATAAATAACCTGTCTTCCGGCGCTGCCTTCCTGTTTTCGAAGTTGATGAGTGACATTTGTTGTTGCTCCGGTTTATGCCTGTATTCACATTGCGCTTCAGTGCAGACCCTTTACCAGATACTACTTTTTGAATGCTTTGATTATCAACTGCAACAAGTTTAACTGAGCGAGTATCAAGTCCTGGTGCTTTATTCTGAAGTAATACAGCAGTTGGAGATGCGGAAGAACAATATTCCCCTTGGGATGGTCGTTTCCTAATGCTTTTTTTGCGATCCTTCAATAGTTGGTGCTCCTTTAGAGCAAGATAAAATTGGTTAATTCAACATGTTCAGAGCATATGTAACTTCAACCGAAGAAACAATAATGGTAGTAACATAAGGAACTAACCAAAGCTTCCACAAATAACTTTAGCCTTCGAGGTTTCAAGTGAAGCTTAGAGGCTTTGCAGCTATACTTTTCCAGCAATGACCACCTGAAACACAGTTTAAGGAATATGTATGCATGTCCATATCAATTGAAGTTACTCCAAAACCAAGATGATTACATGCATGACACCTACAAGTAAAACTAAGTAATATTTATCATGGAAAGATAAAATATATAAGAAAAAAAGTAGAAAACAAACCTAAATATCAATTTCTTTTAATTAAAGCAGCAAGAAATTTTATGGTCATAAAAGTGCAATAGCAATAAATAAATTCCAAAGCTAAAGAAGTTTTATCCATGAGCAAAACCTACACCCAGTAGTTGGATAGCTAAATTTTGCAATGTAGTTTTTCCCTACTAAGCAACTGGAGATCCATACAACTGAGACTTATGAAAAATGCTAAATCTTGTCTGATCAATCAAAGAGAAAATCAAAGTAGTGAACACTAGATTCTTCCAGAAGATGTCATTTGGGCAGCCTTAACAACTATGTAGAATTATTTATGTATGAATTAGGCATTTCATTACTTCCTGTTCAACAACTTGTATATAAATCACCACCACGCAACCTCCTAAGCCATCATTTCCAGTTTAAACTGATAGAGATTGCATGGGTATTCAGTGCCCATATATGTTCTTGAAGGGAGACTCATGCATCAATGTGTTGTGCCTAAAACTTCCAAAACTAGATTGAAGGGCTGACAGGAAAATGAACCACTGACAATATAACACCATAAGTTAGCTCTGTTGAATTAAACTTTGCTTGAAGTTTTTCTAGGCAAATCTATGTCATCAAAGACAGGCATGTTAAGGCCAGATTAAGTGCTTCAGCATAAGCTAAGCTATACAATATCTTGGATTATCAGTATTCATGTGCCACAAGAGGGTATTTATGGAGTGGAGATCCACAGTTAGTAATGGAGTGGATGATGAACCAAGGCTACATACAATCACAGTGAATCCCTCATTCCACTGTAAACTTGGATCAGTAAATCCTCTAGCAGATAATCTAGCAAGAGAAAGGGAATTGAGGAATGTGCTAATTTAGGAACGAAACACCTTGAGTCCATCTTTTGTATATTTTGCATAGGAGATCTCCAGTCTCTTTTTTCGAGAAGTGGACTATGTACCAATATTATTTTGTTTATGCTATCATTTAAGACAAAACTTTCACTGTTATCAATACACACATACAAAAACTGGAGACATCGGCTCTCCAAGTACAGGAAGGACTCTTCCTACTTAAATCAATAATATGAAAAGTGAACCATGACTAACATATTTCAAGAACATAGTGTGAAAAAGTGCAAATGGAATTTTATAGATTAACTTAAACCAGAAATTCATCAAAAGAAAAAATTAGACAAGCATTACATTACAAAAGTGAAATCTATAGAGATAGAGAAGGCAAAAAAAACCATTGCTTTATTATAAACAAGCTAAAAGAAAAGAACAAATTTATTTATCTTCTTGGTTACCATCGAAGCATTGCAGCAATAGTATCCTTGGAATTTTTTGCATCTAGACTAAATCCTGGACTGAGCAGCTTGTTCATACGTCTTACAAGGCGATAATAATAATGTCTGACCTGTATGATATAAAAATAAGAAAAACATCAATACTCTGACAAGAGAATAGAAGAATTAACATGATCAATTGCTGGATTTTTATATTATTATATTATTCCCAATACGCTTTATTTTTATTAAGTATCCTCCTTTTCTAGAGCAATACCAATAAACTAGATATTTAAATTGGAAAACAAAGGGGAAATGAAACATCACCTATCACCATTATCCGAATGACATGTAAATTACATCTTTTCACTTGTTTTTCTGTAAACCTCGCATTGCTCCTTATTTTTCTCTATTTCTTCTTGTACATCTCTCTGGTGTTTTTTCTTATTTTCTCACATATTGATTCATACACATAATTTTATGTTTTTTGTGCATAGGGATATCTCACAATTCTCTCTTCCTAAGACCTAAGGCATGATTCATTTTGTACATCTCTAATTGCAAAATTTACATGGTTACTTTGGTACTAGAAACAAACTTAATAAAAATGAATCTCCAAACCTCCCAATTAACAGGAAGGTTCTGGATTTTTTACTTGGTGCTCCAACAATAGAAATATTGTTCAAAGATAAAAGTCCCACAAGAAGATTAAAAAGTAATTTCTTCTTTGGCCTTTCAAGTTGCTTATATCAAGCATATTTCTATAAAATTTATGAAGAGATGAATCATATACAATGTGAGCAAAAACAAATAATAATTTCATGATAACCAATTGAGAATAGATTGATTAATCATGGACGCAACATTCCTGTGTAACTCCATTAGCATGTCATACAATATTATGCAAGAACATGTTGGAAGAAACAAGTCACCTGATCCTTGTTTTTACTTTGCACACGGCATGTAATTTTCTCAAAGTTCTGTCAACAGAACATAACATATACACTATTAGAAAACTTCAGGCAGTAAAAAAATCCAATTACAAAAATCAACATTGGTAGAAATATACCTTCCCAACTTGCCGTAAGGCATTGAAGAAGCTTTCCTCTTCCTGGCGTGTCCAAGCAGCCCATTGTCGTGTTTGTTTCTTCACTGCATCAGAAAAGCAGTGCATAATGTGTTTCTTCCCAAATATGCTCATTTAAATTCTAGTATTTCTCTGTATGTGTGTGCCAGTGTGTGTTAGAGAGAGAGAGAGAGAGCACCATACCAGGCTGCTGAGGAGCAACAATATTTTGTGAGGATGAAGTAAGACAAGAATCTCCATCCTTGAGCAATGGATTTTCAGATGGTAGTGAAGTTGCACATTCCAATGCCACCTGTGGTTTGGAGTGCATATTGAATGCAAACACCAGAGGAACACTATATTCTCAGATTTTTTTTTCAGATCGCAGATCTTCAAATTATACTCCTTTACAAGTGCCAATTCTGCAAATAAATCCAATAAATCAAGCCTGATTTACAAGAAGAAAGATCCAAATCCAAAATTTGATCTCCAAAGAAAAACAATACAAGAGTCTTCTCGATCAGAATGAGAATTTTAAACATAGTAACCTCTCACATGCCCTGAAGACCAACCAGAGCCCCCTTCCAACTAAATACATTTACATGTATACAGATGGCACCACTTACTCCCACATACAGAATGGATAATGGATTTTATATAATAATCTGTAACATACATAAACTTAGCACATACATTTTATCTTAATTATGATCATCTCAGATACTAAGATAAAACCCAATTATATGACCAGTACAGTAACCAAACTAAACCTAATTGATATATTATTAGTCTGATTCTATATTGGAACTTTAAATTCTTGGTAAGATGACACTGAGTCCTTAACAGAGAATTACATAACATCAAATAAGTATATAAAGGAATAACAAGTATTATTTGGGAGTTGAAGGTGAAAAAAGAAAATGTGTTCTGATTTTCAAACATCTATTGGCTTCCAAAAGTCTATTCCTGTAATCCTCTAAGGAGTACCTATAAAAAAGAAAATCTACCAACAATTTTCTAGTAATACACCTCTGGTATTAAACGCCAGAAATTAAAATCCATCCTTCCAAGCATTCTGAGAATTTCTAATTCACCAGATGAAGCATGTTTTCCACAGATAACCAGACACTAAGCCCCAATTCTATTTCTTTTTTATTTACTCTTTTTTTCTATAGTAAGCAGAGGAACATTATAAACAAAAGGCAAGAACTATTCAGAGTGTAAATATGGATAGAAGCCAAACAAAAAGGAAATACAGGGGGCAAAGAGCTCATAGTCATAGCCTGTCAACTGAACACCCTATATAAATATAATAGGCTCTATACATACATGTGTATGTGCACGCACACACAGCCCCAAGAATTTCTTGGCAAAGAACCAAACCATTGATGCAAAGCCCACAAACAAGGCCACCCAGGAACAAGAACAGACAACAGAAATAAAGAAAAACCCCACCATTTGACTGAGTACCAACATAGGAACACCCCAAATCCTCTGCCTCTTCCTCTAGATCTCTTAAAATGAACCTCTTGCACATTTCCTCTGACATCTGTCCCTGGGCACCCAAAACCATATCCACAAACTTCTTTATGAGCCGCAGAAGTAATATTAAGAATATGTATGATTGTAAGTGAAGCACTGTCTGATATTTAGGTTATCCCATGACCCATAACTCCACATGCCTAACCTTTGCTACAATATGGTAAGAAATACTGCTAATTATGCTACCTCAGGACCTTCTTTATAGGCACCAAAATTGGAAAATAAGCCCAGCACCAGTCATAGCAGTATTTGGCTTCTGCTACCAAAATCACTGCATCTGGCATCCTATAAGTTAATAATAATAATAATAATAATAATAATAATAATAATATGATGATGATGCATAATATTTTGGGAAATAAAATGAAATGCAAGGGTTGCATGAAACATGAAAGTACTAATGGCATATACAACATAAAAATATCTGAAATTTCATATCATTACCTAATAACAAAAGAAAGACCAAACTATGGTAAGTTCAATAAGCCCAAAAGCATGAATTTCTCCTCGAATTCCGCTAACATGAAGATTTGTTCGAATAAACTTATACTCCACCCAATATATAACAGATATCCCCCAATTAAAGTGTTGAAAGAAACATTAGAGCGTGGAGCTCTGTTCATAAAACCTAAATTTACGAGAAAATAAAAAAAAAATGAAAGAAAAAAGAGAAGGCTGAGGCAACAAATATCGTGCTATCATAGATCATGACATTACCACGATAAAGAATCAAATAACAACTGAAAGAAATTAGGGCTTTGACCGTACTGCTTCTATATGAGATCCCAAGCACAAGAAATGGAAAAAGAAATAGATACGCAAAAAGGGAAATTTTTTATCTAAGTTTTGAAACTTTTAATACCTGCATGCGTTTGAAAGAACCACACGAACCCTAAGATCTCCGGCCTGAGCTTCAGATGAACGTGCGAGACTGGCGAATAAGCACAGTACCGGCGAGAATTATCGGACAGATGTCCACAGAGAAAGAAGAGAGGGAGAAGCTACAGCGAAATTTTACTTCGAGAAGGGAGTCGGGGACGGCCGTTTTTAGTTAATTTCGTATTTCGAGGATAAATTGGGATTATTATTACGCAAACTCAAAAATGAAAAATACTTTCATTTTCATTGCAATATTCTTACTTGGAAATAATTTAATTTAATTAATACCTAACAAGTAACAACCCATTATTAATGAATAAAGGCAAAATTTTTAAAGACAATCCAACGGTTATGCAGCTCATTTGACCAAATGGCCCCAAATTCCTTGACAAAGTCATACCACCATCGGATTGTAATCCAACGGTTATTTAAGGGGCTACTTTTTTCATATTATCATGATATAGACATTTAATTTATTTTTATTTTATCCTAAAATTAAATGATGTTCATTTTATTTTTTTTCATTTTTATATTTTGTCTTTTACTATTAGTGAGGACCGATGTACGGGCTTTTATCAAACAAAAATCAAGTTGAAGGACCCGTATGATACAAAATCAAATTTGTTTTGGAAGAGGAAAATTATTGTTAGAATTAGAATTATGAATAATTTAACTGTATGACTATAAATTATGGGAACTAGAGCCAGTCCTGTTCAATGAAAATTGACAGAAGTAGTTGCTATGACTTATGAGGTCAAACCGACCGCTTTAAACCAAGAAAACCATGAACAAGCCCCTTTTCCGGTTCAATGTCCGTCCAGTTTTCAAGACATTGTTTGAAATTAGTGATTCAGACAAAGCTGAAAATTGGCTTGCCCAGTTATCCCAATTATGTCCTTTTAATCCTTCCATCTGGACCAATATTTTGAAGAAAAAAAAAATAAGACCAGACCAGAAGATGAACCAGGCTGAGCCAGGACTAAGAGGTTTAAATCCACCAGACCACCACCGGTGGACGAGCTGGACTCAAGACTCAAGAGTCAAGACAGATAATCTCCTAGTCACAACACCTTGGTGCTTGAACCGGCCTGGTCCGGTTGGTATGACTGAGACCTCTGCAGCCGGACTAATTTAATAGAAAGTCCCTATGATCTAATGGAAAGGCAGACCGATTCTGTGGTCCAAAACCCAAGGTTTTAAATCCAGAAATGTAAACATTCTGTGGTCCAAAACCCAAGGTTTTATCAAATGTCACTATTCTTTGTTAGACAACTTGACCGGTTCGATGAGTCAAATCCAAAGGTCAAACCTGATTGGCCAAAAACAGTCCGGTTTAAAGCAGAGAGACTGAGAGAGCGAGAGTCATACGTTGACAGTGCTACTGTTATCTATTCATTGGGGCCCATTCTACTAACGTCGGACGCTTGGCGAATATGGGCTCAAACTAATTACGGACCAACAACCCCAACGACCCAACCCCGAGACGCTCCCTCCTATTTTAATTGAAGTGCTGAGTGTACTGACTGGATGTGGATCGATCATGGATGTACTCCAGTCCAAGCAACGTAACGTTCAAATTTCAAATTCCCTGTTTGAATTTAACTCTTTTGACCGTTCAAAAATTACGCGGTAACTACTTTGAACTGAAACTTTTTTTTTTGTTGTTGAAGAGGTCTCGTCTCGAAGTTTAGAGTTTAGACACCAGCTGATACCTCCCCACGTGGGCCACTTTCAAATGACTACTTTTGGGCCCATTAGAGAATTCCCTCCACACTCCATTAGGAATCCGCAAGCAACAGCAACAGGAACACCAACGAGAGTGCATTTGTCAATTAATGGGCCCCGGGCCCAAGGAATCGGAAAATGAGATTTTCCGTTCCCAATAGCAACAGCTTGTACTGTAAGCTACCCTTTGCTTTGGGATTTTCCTGCTATGTTGGATCTGCAATGAATAAAACTAGCTCAATATATGGATTTGAAAAAGGTCCATTAATCTTTCTAGGCTGGGCCGACCCTAAGGTCCATTGTTTCTGGCTGGACCCTATAAGCCCACAAATTACTGCACAATATCCTGCAGTGCTTCCGAATTGTTAGCTATTGATTATTTTGAAAGATTAGCTATTGATTATTTAAGTACGTTGAGGGACGTACCGGCCGGGGTGTCCACAGTTCATTTAACCGAACCATAACCAAAATAATCGAACTGGTCCTACCGGTTTTTTTATTTTTCCAAACCCAAAACCAAATCGGTACCACCGGTTGATTGGTTTTGGTTTTTAACCGATTCGGTTTTTCAATTTTTATATTTATAATATATATTATATAAATATATGTATAATATTATATTATAAATAATAAATGATATATAATATATTATATATATTATAAAAATAAATAATATATTCATAAATAAATTATTATAATATTATATATGTATATAATGCATATGTATTTATATATAATATATAGAAAATATGTGACATATATTAAAAATATATATCAGTCAGTTTGGTTAACTACCGGTTTTTTTCTAGGTTAACCAAAAATCGAACTGGTCCTTCGGTTTTTCAAAAATACTGAACCGATCAGTCCAGTTAACCACATTTTCCAGTTCGGTTTTCTCAGTTTGGTTCGGTTATTCGGTTTTTTATGAACACCCCTAGTACCAGGTTTCAAATATGTGTTTGGCAGTGCATTTTTCTTCACATTTTATGTTATGTTTATTGCTGTGAGATATGCATTGTAGATGTGCAGAGACATTTAAACACTACATTACCATTATGGATATCCCATAGAGAAACCCCAGATGCCAATTAGCATGTTAAAACCAAGATTCAAACTTGAAAAGCATTTTGAAAAAGCAACTTTAGAAACTTCAGAGGCTCTCACTGTCACTATGTGATCAAAGGTAAAATTGTGAACATGTAAAATTTCTTTTCAGTGTTACCACAGATCATCATCATCATCGCCTTATCCCAAGTATATGGGGTTGACTACATGAATCCTGTTTTTGCCATTCCATTCTGTTTAATGTAATATCCATTGTGTAATACAATTTGGATGTTCATACCAGCTGGCTTGGAGAAGTATGTACATCCTGCAATTGTTTAGCATAATTAAATGGCTCTCCATATTGATCTTGAGATGTATGAAGCACATCCTTGTTAGAACCACTGTAAGATACCATGATCACCTCCAGTATTAACATCTGGATCTGCCAACTAAAATAGCGCAGCATCAATCAACTTTTGAAATCATTAATCTGTACATGGGATCTCCGCGGTCGATGACATGTCGTTCCCAATCTGACCAAACACCAAAGGGGTTCTCCTCTAACCATCCTCCTTGACCAACCTTCATATCATCTTCTACAATGGCAAGTTTACCCTTGCCATAAATCAGAAACTGTTCTTTCATTCTCAATGCAACTGCTTCTATGTCCGATTGCAAAAACACCTACAGATTCCAGCATAATTATTTGATACCTCCAAGAAGCCATGCTATGCTTGTGTAAAATACAAAGTAGGATATAACATGAGTACTGTAGAATTTACACGCTCCCTTAGATCCACTGATTGGATTAGGGAAATAGCCCCCATCTTGGAGTTACTACCAAATGGCACTACTCTTTTGACCCAAGTCATATGATAATTGCAACATTTCAAACATAACAGAAAGGTAAATGGAGAACAGAGTAGACATTCTGTGCTATTATGATCACCTCAAGTTCACCAATACAGTGACCAAGACTCCTGTATCAAGACTTGGGAAAGAGTTAATGCAAGAGGAGATTAAAAGCATGCTTGCACTTGGAGGAAAGTACCTTTCCGTTAGACACAAGTAGATCTGCTATTGCTTCAATAAGTGACCTCTGTAACATTCTCCATCTGTGTTCTGGTTTGTTGAAATCAGGGTTTGGGCACTAAATGCAGAACTTTAATTTCGGTCAAATAATCATACCAGCTACTGAACAAAACATAACACATAAATTTTCTATGGGAAAAACAATATAACTGCCTGCCAACAAAAACATTGTAAGACGAGTGTCTCTACATATGATGGTTTAGAAAGATGTGAAAAGTTCAGAAAAAGAAAATCACCCTTGTCAGGCTCATGGAGGAATATAGGAAAAAGGTTAGAACTTAGAAGTGATGCTAGGGTGAGCTAATTGGTCATTAAACAAAGGTTTTACTAGAATGGATAGATAGCATAAGAAAAACTGCAAGTTTGAATTCAGGAAGTAACCTCATAATTTAAAAGAATGGAATTAGAATTGAGACCAAGAATTAAAGACCATGAACCAGTTATTCAGGTAACAACTGAAAACTCCAAACCTTTTCTTCAAACAAGCATAGAAAACACTCAAAACAAGTGCAAAGATTTACAAGAAATCACAGCATTGGCATGCAATAGTATTTCAACATAGTTTCCATTTGATTCAGAAAGTGTATTTGAAGATGGAAGTTATGCCTTACCAAGACGGAAAAAAAAAAACTAGCTAGTTAGCATAGACGTGTGATTATGGAGTGAATAAATATTTCCTCTTTATATACTTTTAATGGACAGTATGGCTACATCATATATGACACCAGACAGACAAAGTAATAAAACCTATCCAATTAGCATAAATATGCAATTGTCTAGATTAAGATAGTTTGGTCATGTGCAGAGAAAACCATCTACAACACCAATAAGAATTAATAAGTAACCTATGACAAGTTAAGGGGGCTAGAAGAGCTAGGTGCAGACCAACAAGGACATAGGCTGAAGTAGTAGGAAATGATTTAAGAGCCCATAATTTATCAATTGATATGGCACTGAACAGAATAGAATGGCAGAACACAATTCATGTAGCTGGCCCAATATAGTTAGGACAAAGCTAGATAACGACAGTGATGATCAATGAATTTGTAAGACCATATTTGCAAGTTACAGTGAACAGTCTGCAGCTGATATAAGGAGAAAAAAGAAAACGAAAAGAAAAAATAGACACAGATATGTTTCTATACCTGTACTGAAGCAAGAATCAATTTCCCAGGGTAGCTTGAAACAATGGAGCGAAATGTGGATGTTGCATTTGTTGCAATAAAATATCTACAATAAATAAAAGCCAAATCAGATAAGCTGTCATAATTACTCCATCCAACAAATACTTCCTCTTTTTGGTTTTTCTTTGTTCCGTAATGTTTGTCCAGCACAGAACTAAATGTCGTAATTAACCACGTCAAATTATGAAGTTTTCCTACACTGCAGCACAAAAATTATGGGAGCACACTGGAAACAAATAAATCTTTCTATACTATCTATAAAAGTACGAATAGATGTGGTTGGCTTCTGAAATTTTCACTAGACTAAAATACCCCATCTCTAAGGTTTGAATAAGAGAAGGAGCAATGGTAAATATGTAATTTTGTTTTCTCATTTAATGCTTATAAGGAAATGACTTCTTTCTCATTTAATATTTATTACAAAAAAGACACAAAACTCCATTCTTTTTGTTCATAATTGTAAAACAAGTCAATGGCAAGAATGTTATGTAACATTCCCATTTAATGCTTGTTAGGGAAAATACACAAAAATCCCTCTTTTTGTTCAATAATTGGAAAACAAACCATGGTAATTGCTGAAACCTCCCTTGAAGTTTGGTAATTGAAATCACCTCTCCTAAACTTCTTGACACAATTGCAAGTAGACCCCCTTTGTAAAATTCTCTAACAAGGCACATGAAAATGTCCAAAATACCCATGTAATTATTATTGAGGCTGGTTGGTACATAGAAAACAATATTATTATCCAGAAGAGAAAGTGAAGAGAAGAAAGAAGGGAGAAGGAAGAGGAGAAAAGAGACATTTGTGAGCAAAAACTCAATGTTGGCGGCGCCAGCTTTTTTGGTATTTATATTAGGGCGACCATAACATAATATAAAAGAGGGGGAATTACAATAGTACCCCTGTGATACTGAACAGAAATAAAACAAAAGACAAACAGCCTTTTAGCACTCCCCCTCAAGTTGGGACATAGATGCCAATCATGCCCAACTTGTCACATAGATCATTATGCCGCAAGTGATGTATCCCTTTTGTGAAGATGTCCTCAAGTTGATCTTTAGACCTGACATAGGGGGTGCACACCTTCCCTTTGACAACCTTTTCTCTAATAAAATGCTTGTCTACCTCAATGTGCTTGGTTTTATCATGCAATACTGGGTTAGCAGCAATGTTTATGGCTGCCTTGTTATCAGAATATAAAGTCATAGGTCCATCAATTGTAAATCCCATCTCACTCAACAAATTTTTTAACCACATTATTTCAACCACTCCATGAGACATTGCTCTATATTCAGCTCCAGCACTAGACCTAGCCACCACATTAGGAGTAGGAATAGGAACACTGTTAATGGAAGAGAGGAATGCCCAAAAGGAAGGTGAAATGTTTTCATAGGAAACAAAATGGGAAATGGGGTGCTTAGTGGTGCAAGACCTAACACCCTTCCGGTGAGCAATAGGAAGGTCAAGATCATCAGCATTGGAGGTATCAATAGCAGTAGGGTTAGAAATATCAATGGGAACTAAGGTACCTGGCTGAGTAGGATCCATCCCCGAAGAATTTGATGGCATTGGTGGTACAGCTTCTAGATGCTCCACAGCTCTTGAACTTGGTTGGCCTTTGTGACAGCGACAAAAAACATGAGAGGAGGATCAGGAAGAGGATGGAGCTGAATTTGAGGCAGAGGAGGAAGCTGAACCTATTTTTCCTCATGCCTACACTCCCCCTAAGGAGAAACAGGAAAGAAATGTTCACTCTCAAAAAAGGAGACATCCATAGAAACATAATATTTTCGAGAGACGAGATCAAAGCACCGGTACCCCTTCTGAGTGAAAGGGTACCCCAAGAAGATGCAAGGAATAGCATGAGGATCCAATTTCCCACGAGTGGGTGACAAGTTTTGAACAAAACAACGACAACCAAACACACGGAGAGGAATAGACAAAAGAGGAGAAAAGAGAGATCTGTGAGCAAAACTCAGTGTTGGCGGTGCCAGCTTTTTTGGTATCTATATTAGGGCGACCATAACATAATATAAAAGAGGGGGAATTACAAGAGTACCCATGTGATACAAAATAAAAATAAAACAAAAGACAAACAGCCAAGCAGCCTTTTAACAAATATAAATGTTATGAACAAAAAAAAAGAGAGTTTAAAGTTGCAATTTTACCTTTAAGCAATTGATATGAAGGGCAAATTTGAAAAATACATCAATTCCGAGAAAGAGATTAGGAGGAATTGGGGTAGTGATTGATATGAAGAAAAAATTTGGAAAATAAACATTTTGTTCAAAAGTAACTACATTGGTATTTTGGACACTTTTTGTGCTTTTTGTTAGAAGATTCTAACAGAGAGTCTACTTGTAACTGTGTCAAAAAGTTCATGGGAGGTGGTTGCATTTACCAAACTTTAGGGGGGTTCAGCAATGATCAAAAATTTTACGAGAGGTTTTAGCAATTTACCCTTTCATTTATTTAAATTTAAAAAAGAAATAAACTGAAAGTACATCTTATGTTCTCAATAGACAATGTTGGGCCACATTAACCACCATGAAGAGATTTCCAACTTGCAAATGGATGAGTAATTTATTCTTTAACTATTTTCTTGTTTTTTTTAAATATTTTTAACCTATTTTCATTGGTTCAGTGCTTTATTATTAAGGTAGCAGATGGTTTTCTCTTCTTTATTCCAACCATATGGTGGGTTGATTTTTCATTTCCATTACCTTAAAGCTCACATTGTTGGATGGCAAGATATCTGCAAGAGTAAGTGATATTTTTAGCAATGGTGTTGAAGTTGGATTTATCATATAGAAGTTAATTCTTGCAAAGGTAATGAGAATTCAAATGAAAATCTAATGAAGGTAACTGATAAAAATTATTAATTTTATTAATGAACCATAATAAATAAGAATAATAAGAATTTATTAATTCTCGTTACCTTTGCAAGAATTTTATTTGGACATATCTTTATATTAATAAACCATAATAAATGTGATAAATAAGAATAATTTTTATAGATGTAGAAATATAAAAAATTGCAGAAAGAAATTGGAAATATATTATATACTATTTTTTAGGATTAAAAATATATAATATATATGATGTAAAAAAATAATAATATAAGGCTTAAGGGGCCAGATTTGACAGCTGGCCTACTCCACATAAATTCAAATTTTAATTTGTTCTAGTTATGGGGGGAGTTAAGCAACCACCCCACGTATGAAGAGTGGGGAGGTTGCTCTAACCTCCCTACCCATAACTACCTCCTCTATATAAGAGAGAGAGGATAGCAAAAATGGGTGGCAGATAAGGAGAAGGGAGAAGAGAAAGAAAAAAAAAAAAAGAGGAGAGAAGAGAGAGGAAGAGAAGAAATAGAGGAGGGAACTTGTAGTCCTATTGATTGAGGTGATTAAGGATAAGTGCACATAGGTATAGATCCTATCTTTTTCTTCTATCCCTTTAAATTTTATCTATTTCAATCCTTATCTTCTCTCTCTCTCTCTCTCTCTCTCTCTCTCTATATATATATATATAAAACTCAAAATCTTATTTCAATCTATATATATCTGGTGGATTCTATCCACCACAAAAAATGTGGTAAAACAGAAAAGAGACTAATACTTAGGAACTAACCATTGTTATGTTTGGTGGACCTATCCAGCTCAAAAGAACTTTCAATGGATTAATCCAATATTATAATAGATAAAAAAAAAATCAATTGATAAATCTTTAGGTCTCATTGTCAGTGGATCTTATCCACTTAAAAAGGGGACAAATGTATTGTTGTGGCAGCTTATATTGCCACCTGTAAATGGCAAACCCCTAAAATGCCAAGAAGGGTTGCTTGATAAATCTTTGGGTCCCACTGTCAATGGATCTTATCCACTTAAAAAGGGGACAAATGTATTGTTGTGGCAGCTTATATTGTCACTTGTAAATGGCAAACCCCTAAAATGCCAAGAAGGGTTGCTTGACAAATCTTTGGGTCCCACTGTAGTGGATCTTATCCACTTAAAATAAAAAGGGGACAAATGTGTTGGTTTGCTACCTGTAGCAACACATGTTGCCACTTGTTATTGACAAATTTTTGGGACCCACTGTTTTCAGTTTGCTGCCAACTGTTACAAAGGGACCCATTGTCATATGATGTGGATTTTATCCACCTTTACCACCTAAATAAAAACTAAAATGGTTAAGACTCAACACGTGGATCCTATCCACATTAGTTATAAATAAATAAATATATATATAATATAAATAGATAAATAAAATATAATCTGACCCCCACTATTGACAGTTGTGAATTATCATGAGTTAGTGGGTTCCACTATCAAATCAATATAGTGGGTCCCACTTGTCGGTGGGGCCCACTGTCAAAATATTTAAGTTTAAAACATTAAAGTGGGCCACGCCCACTATCAAATCAACCTAGTGGGTCCCACTTGTCAGCGGGGCCCACTATTAAAATATTTAAGTTTAAAACATTAAAGTGGGCCACACCCACTATCAAATCAACTTAGTGGGTCCCACCTATCAGTGGGGCCCATTGCTAAAATATTTAAGTTTAAAACATTAAAGTGGGCCACACCCACTATCAAATCAACCTAGTGGGTCCCACCTGTTAGCGAGGCACGCTGTTAAAATATTTCAATTTAAAACATTAAAGTGGGTCACACCCACTATCAAATCAACCTAGTAGGTCCCACCTGTCAACAGAACCCACTGTTAAAACATTTGAGCATAAAATGTCAAAGTGGGCTATCACTATTAAGTCATCATAGTGGCCCCACATATCAGCGGGGCCCACTATTAAAATATTCAAGTTTAAAACATTAAGGTGGGCTACACCCATTAGCAAGTCATCATAGTGGGGCTCACTGTTAAAATATTTAAATGTAAAATATCAAATTAGGTCACATCCACTATCAGATTAGTATAGTGGGTCCCATTTATTTGTAGGGCCTACTATTAAAATATTAAAGTGGGCCATGCCCACTACCAAATCAGTATAGTGGGTCCCACTTCTTACCAATTAACGGGACTCACTGTTAAGATGTGTAAGTTTAAAATGCATTAATACCCAATGGTGTATGGGTCTTATGGCCTAACTACCAATTGTGGGGCTCGCTCATGGGTATAACCCACTAAGAATCCAAGCTGATGGGACTGCTTATACCTGCTATTGGGTTTAACCCTTACAAAGTAGCTCTTTCACACAAAATCAAAATCAAAGGGTATTTCCTCTGAGGAATACAATTAAGGGGTTTTAGCAGACATAGTGTATACTTATACACCCTGAATAGGGAAACCCTAATTCTACTCAAGTTCTTTTTTTGTGAATTATGATCAAAATAACTATCACCATCACAAAATTTGTCGTGTGCAAAGCACGTATACAAATACTAGTATGAACAAATGAAAACACACATTGATAACTATCTTCTTAAAATGTGGAGTTTTCCAAAGAGGAAACCTCTGTGGGATTGTCAATAGAATTCAGTGGAGAAAAAGAGAAAAACATAAGATGGTAAATAGTGAGTGAAAATGATTATCATGACCAATTTATGCAAGAAACAAATGGTAATGAACATGAAGTATATAAAAGGCTAAGACTAGATGATAGAGGTCATTCACAAGCTTTCAAAATATTCAAGTGGCAGAACAAGAATCAAAATAAAAGCTCACAAGCCTTGATTTGGTGGTGTGATGATGAAGCATGGCCAACATGGGTGCTTCCAATGGAGCCTTGATGGGGTGTGAATGGATTAAATGGACAACCAGTGCTAGTTTCTCTTTTGTTTAAGGTTTGTATTTAAGTAAGGGAGATTTCAGGGTTAATCTCTATTATCTTCTCTTGCCTTTGTTTATGTAGTTAGGGTATTTTAGAAGTTTCAATTAAGGGTACATGACCAGCACCTATAGAAGATCTTCAAATAAAAAATTAAAGCAGTTTTTTGGAAAGAATGAGGATGTATCCAATTTTTTGAACATATGAAGCTTTTCTCTTCTAGAATTGAATCCCTAGTGTGAGGCTTTCTTCTTCTGCAACCCTAATCTCCCTAGACTACAGAACTTGTCCTTTATCTTAGCCTCTCCTACTACCCTGTAAGTCCTAACCTGAACCAGTAGTCCTTTAAGATACCCTAGCCCTACTCTCAGCCTATAAATTTCCAAACCCTAATTCCTAGAAAATTTCAACCTTTGACACTAATTCCTGAAACCTTGTCATCATTAGTACCCTTATTTCCTCCAAAGGTTCTGCATCACAAGACTGCCTACAAATAAATGGATTAAGAATAATAGATACTAAAGTGGTCTTTTGGCTTTGGAAAAGCATATAGACATCAGCATGATCAACATATTATTGTATAGGCAACAAATTAAATAATTCCTCTTACTAGTATATTGAGTTTTTCGAAGGACCAAGGTTATCAAGTAAAATTGATAATCGGGATTTTATGGGCAATGGCACTCACACGTTCTTCAGGCCATATGTACGAACAGAGTTGAGACAACGCCTTACAAGCTGCACAATGTTGAAAGCAAACATAATTGAGTGATATAAACCAGGAACTAAGAGCAAAAGAAGAAAGCATACCTTATCATTGATTTCCAGACCAAGATAATTGAATTGTTTCTGTTTTCTAGCCATGCCCAAGATAAATAGACCATTTCCTGTATTAATTACAATTTGTTAGAATTTAATAAGTAATTGCATTCTAAGAAGGGGAGGCATGAAAATAAGATATACACATGTAAAACTGAAACCAAATCCTTCTAATAGTTGCTGAGAAGGTACCCAGAAAAAATACTGAAATGCTCAGTCATGTAGAAAGACTCAAGGAAGAAAATCCAATATAATTAATTCAACTGAGCTTGGGTCTTCCTTAGACATTGACCATCCAAAGAGCTGTAAGTAACAAAAGCCTTTTTCAATGCAAAGACTTGGGCATTACGGTTATGGATGAATTGTAAAACTAGTTGAACCTTAAGTATTATAAGTTGAAACAAAAAATGATTAAGGGTCCATTTGGTTCATGGGAATAGGGGTCTGGAATTGGAATCAGAATGGCTCATTCTGATTCCAGCCGTTTGGTTGGGAAGAATCAGAATCTGATTCTCATTCCTGGCGGAATGGCATTCCCCGATTTGAGGGAATGGCCATTTCCACCCTCCCCCCCGGGAATGAGAATCCCATTCCACTACAGAAAACAGGTTTCTTTTTCCAGTGGACAATGACCGCTGGCATAGCCTACTAGACTGCCAGCACATAACTATGCCAGTGGACATGACTGCCAGTAAAGTTGTTGGTTTCCAAATCTCACCGACAGTCGTGACCACTGGCATAAATAGACTTGAATGCCAGTAAAATTGTTAAATGCAATCTAAATTTAACCTATGCTGGCGGTCATAGATTATGAGGTGAGATTATTGTCAAGTTTGGATCAGGTAGGCACACAAGATGAGCACACTGAATAAGCACTTGGGAAATTTTGTGACACCTGTCCCATAAAATACCCTCAGCCCACCCTTGAAATGATTTAAATAAAATTCTAAGACATGTCAGAATATTTATTGAGTGCTTATTGAATGTGCTCACAATGGTGTGCCTATTGAATCTACTCTCATTATTGTCGCAGTCCTTGACCGCCAGGATAGATCAACTTCAATTAAAAAAATATTATCTTTTTCCTCTCTATTGTTTCCTGTCAAGCATTCATCACATCTAATCCCGATTAAATGAATGTAAAGAAATTATTTTCAAAACAGTGTTTCATTTCTGTAAAAAAAAAAAACACTGCTATACAATTAAATATTAATGAACATATAGGGAATATGTTATCAAGAACCAGTAATGGCAATTAATTCCAAAGTCCTAAATAAATAAATAAATACAAGAATATGCAAATATAAATTCTAAAAGAAATTAAGTGTTTCAAAAAGCCTATTAGCTTAATTGGTTAGATATCTTGTTATTTAAAATGGTTATCTCCTTTTACACTCAAGTGGTACCTAGATTGAACTGTTTAAACTCTAAATATCGTATGTATACAGGGTAGTGCTGATATGTTCCAAGGCTGGACTGGTGAGAAATCAGAGGGAAAACTGAAAAAAAAAATGATAATTTTGAGAGTTTTAGTTCAATGTTTGGTTTTTGTAGGGCTAATGGCTGGTTTACAGAAGGCAGATGAGGGATTTTCTAGGGTAATATGCTTGATTGGAAAACTAATTTAGTACTAAGCGGAAATTTCTACATGGAGAAAATAAAAATTCAATATCTTAAAGATTGAAATGAAATTTATTTAAAATGTTTCAAATGAGCGTTTGGAGGGGTTCTTAGATGGCTTGCCACAAAAAGATTACAGTTCCTGAAAATAGAAACTTTTTGAAAACTAGGGTTTTTGTGGCAATTTTTGAAAACTGGTTTAATGGGATGAACAGGAACCTAGAATATCAGGAGTCACTTACTAAACCTGATTTTCACCGAGGTTTTGATAAGGATGATTTAGAGAAAATATTCTCCCTCTAGAGAATGTGCGTGAATGTAGAGAATTGAAGAGTATTGAAAGAAAGCTTACAAGATCAATTTAGTCCTTTATCTAATGTTGAATGATGGCTAGTAGCCAAGGAAACCCAGGCCCTTCGGGGATAGGAGGGGTGCTGAGAGATAGAGAGAGCAACATCCTAGCTTTGTTTTCAGGCCCTGTGGGAATAGGAGACTCAAATAGAACAGAGATCTTAGCGGCTGTACAAGGCATCCAGATTGCTGAACAGTTAGGAGTTCAACACTTGATAGTTGAAGGAGACTCTAAAATTGTTGTGGGATGGTTGACAAAGCCAGCTTCAGCTATGTGGCGATATAGAGATTTATTGAGGAAAGTCAATTGGCTCACAAGAAATATGACAGTTACCTCTCTTTGGGTAGAAAGATCAGCAAATTCCTTAGYGGATGGACTAGCTAAGCAAGGGGTTTCAAGGGATCATTTGTTTTGGGCTGCTATGTAATTTTATTTCTGCTTATCCGGTTCTTAATTGATGTAATACTTTGTTAGAAGAGGTAACAGCTCGTGCCTCTTCATGGATTTCCTGTATTGCCTTATATTCTGATTTAATAAATTATTTTCATTCATCAAAAAAAAATGTTGAATGATGGCTGTTGACTTCTTTTTCTCAAGTCATCAATGACTAAGGCGGTTGAACTACTAAAAAAACTTGAAAAATAAGACAATGAGTGAAAGAAGAAAAACTTAGGAATCACTCATGGGGTTCCTAGAATCGCTTTAGGCTTTGGGAATCACTTTAAAAAAAGTCATACAAGCAAAAAAAAAACTCCAAAATTCGTTTAGTTTGTGAAGCTCCAAAATTCATTTGCCAGGTTTGTGTAACTTCGCACATACATACACACATATAGACTCTCTAGTCAGCCAAACTCTCAAACTAAGAGATTCAAAATGATGATTCTGACACTCATACTCCAATTAAAAAACTAAATGATTTCTCAACTACCTAAATAACGACTTTAATCTTAAACACAACTAAATCATTACTAGATAAATCATACTAATAGGCTAGACCCCACACAACATTGTAAAACAACCAAAACACCAATGCTATCTAACAAAGTAACAATATAAAAATATAAAAAATTCAGAAAAGTCCAATCTTCACTCTTTAGCTCTTGCATTGTACAACTTAGAATCAAATTCAAGGTTAATTCACCAAAAATATAGCAACAAGCCAGGTGAGGCACACCTGGGTTCAGGCAAGCTGCACCCCACAAAGAGTCTCACTTGTAAGACTAAAACAGTCATCATCTTAAATTTTCTTCCGCCAGTGGCCAGTTGTTTTTTACTAGTCCTAATAAATTTAGCTCTTTTTCGTACACTAGAACTTGGGTGCACAATACATGAGGTCAGCATAGAGTGACCCCAAGACATACTTCAGTGTTTGCAAATGTCATTGAATAAGAAAATAAAGAAAGAAGATGATAGATTCTTCAATGTGCAATCACTGCCTTTAGGCACATTCCTTGGTCAATATGGATGCACCCAGGACAGAAAATGTAAGCACATTAGCACACCCATGCATGATGATAACCATATGATGACACTACAACCAACAAATTTTCATCTAGCTTGCTCAGATGAAACTTATCACAATCATAAACCCATCAGCACTCGTCAGCAACAGAAAAAAGAATTGAAGCAACATACAATGGCAGTGCAGCTTGTAAGAATTAGGGTCTTCAATATGCATTCATTGCCTTCAAGCACATTCTTTTGTTGAAAAGATGTACCTCAACACAGAAAAATGCAGGTACTAGCATGCCCATGCATAACAAAATGCAGATGCATACACTAAAACCCATGGTTTTTCATCCAGCTTCCACAGATTCACCTTAGTGTAGTGGTGAATGCATCAGAACTCATCGGCAATAACAAGCAGTGCAGTTTATAAGAAACCTTACATAGTTTCAAGAGACCATTGACCAATACAACATGGTATATTTCTAGCCTTGGAATAACAAGTGCAAGATTAAGTTCCTGATTTGTCATCCAAGGGTTCTCCATTTTCCATCATGAATCATATTATTGTTGATTATGATTATGATGATGGTGTGTGTGTGTGTGTGTTGTAATACGTATTTAATACAAGTTCAAAAATCTGTAAGTATAAAACCTTTTATTTTTCTTGTTTCATGGAATAATTGAATGTATGCTCAAATTTTACTGTACATTTAACAACATATAGAAAATGAAATCTATACACCACAGTATATTTTTGTTTATTAAAATAGATGCATAAACTTTCAGAATTAGAAACTACTAGTCCATCTATGTCTGAGCTATGAAATGATGTATCCATGGCATTTGTTTTCATCCTATCTGTCAATTTAGTACTGCTTGTTTCATACTGAAATTTACTACTATATAAAAATAGAAACCATTGAATTCAAGGTGGCAACCAACAATAGGGGGGGACAAACCACTTCCAATATCAACTATCAAAGGTTGAGTTGGATCATAGAGGATAGTATCCCAGTCAATATCAAAAGGGTATGCCTGCAAAAAAAAATAAAGAAAAACTGTGAAGTTATGGATTATCAACCAAATCAAAGAACTTCAAATCAGGGGCGGAACCAGGATTTTTTCCCTTTTTTCTTTTTTTTTTTTTTTGGGGGGGGTGGGGTGGGGGGCAAAACCTAACATACATTGGGAGGGGGTGCAAATATACATGGATGGGACCAACCCATGGGAGAGGGAGAAATATACATTGAGTGAAGAAATCATATATGTGGAGATTTTGAGGCATGGGGTGGGGGATGGGCATGGCTCTCCCCCAGGTCCCCCCGCCCCCTGCTTCAAATGGATGATTATCTCTAACATAACAATATGAAAGAAATTAAATTTAGATGTTAGAAATATTCATTCCATTGCAGTAGAAACTTGAATGTTCTTGAATTATTCACAATTTAAAAGATGCTTTTTTTACTATAGTACTTCCAAAAATAGATCTAGACATCTAGAAAGAGCATTTATGTAATAGTTATGAATAAATAAAAATAAAGTGCATTGTGAAAATAAATAATGATCTAGACTATTCCCTACTTCCTGCTGTTTTACATGCTGGATTTCCAAAGAGATCTGGAAGCCAACCCGTCTTTGGACCATCTGATCCAAAGTTTTACCACTGTTTACAGATCAAGCTTGTTCAGAGAGATCAAAGGATTATGATCACTTCGACCAGGTTTTCCCCAAGAGATCTGGAAGTCAACCTGTCTTGGGACCATCTGATTCAAAATTTTACCACTATTTTAAAGATCAAGTTTGTTCAGAGTGATTGGAGGATTATGATCAGTTTGATCAGGTTTTCTCTGAGATAACCATGTGCTAAGATCCATTGATTATGGGTCAGAATTCCTTTGGCTGCACACTATGTGCATCAGGAATCATGAGGATTGTTAACTCCAGTTCTATGGTTCTGATTTGGCTACGATTTCAGAGGCAAACAAATCCCATTTCCATTGTCGGCAAATTATGTGATGCCAAAAGATGTACCAAAACACAGAATTTGGAGATTCACAGAATTAACAATTTCAATTCCACTACCAGATACAAATCCACTGTAATTCAAAAGCAGGCTTTTTTTAGAGCAATTCTTTCTTATATGCAGAACCTCATAGTATAATAAATTAATAAACATACCCTATCTAAAGCTGTGACTCCAGGAAGCTTTCTTCCCTTAAGAAATTCCCATACAACTGAAGCATTTTCAATAATATTGTAAAGTGAAGGACATCTTGATGTTTTCATAATTATGTTGCATGCTGCATTCCCAACAACAGACACACTGCAGACATCTTTACCAAGTTCTGTAAGCATCATTGCCAACTTAGAAGCTCCATGTGTATCCTCTTCTGAGGTCTGGAATTTTACTGGACCAATCCACAAAATTTTCTGAAAGCACATCAAGTGCAGGTACTATTGTCAGGTCTAAGCATGGCAATGAATGTTCCAAAGGAAGCCCTTAGAAAGAAAAGTCATTATAAAAATTATAAAGACAGTAACAACAGAAGTTAATAATAAATTCTCAATTATTCATAGTTAATCTCTTGATCCAAGCCCACTAAGTTCATATTATACATAGCAGACACAATATAGGCAGCTAACTTGTTAGAAAAACATAAACCCAAATGCAATGATAGCTATGCAAAGCAGAAAATAGAATGCTGTAGGTTATCTCCTATATGTGGATTATACTCATCTGTAGATTACAGGTTGAATAGAAAACCACCATAATTGATTAAGCTATGGCATACAAAACTTTAAAAGTGACTTGGTGAGTAAAACATGACAACGGTTCTAGCCAATAGCATTTACAAGAAAGGTATGCCTTAATTTCTCTTAATACGCATCAGCACATTTAGCCAGAATTTCAGGAATATTTTCAACTCCTATTAATACTAAGCCAGGTTATAGAGAAAGAACCAGTGCTGGTGACATAACTGATAGGGTATTTATCCTTTACAGTCAAATAGAGCAGGTTAATATTATTCATCCTTCTCTTTGATAAAACATAGAAATAGAAGTTATGACACCCCAATACCCAAACTTATGCTCAGCCCATCCATATCTACACCATATGACATTGACACAGACAGCATATTTTGTGCAGATACTTATAGAATCTAAGCTTCTAGTTTTTATCATACTATATTCTGCTTAACTCAATAACTTCTACTAATTTGTTCATTTGTTTTATCAATGGAAGTCTATTCAAATTGTACATGCACCAGTTACCCTAGCCAACCACCTAACATTGCAGCAAAATGATGTCAAGCCACAACAGATTTCTTCCATGAAGCATTCTAGCATGTAGAGTGTTCTACCATATGCATAGGTATTACATGTAATATACAGAACATCATGAAGAGGACTTAACACGAGTTTGCTAAATGAAAATGAGAAACCAATTGAAAACCACCAGCATAACTGATTTGACACAAACAAATAGGTTGCACATTGACAATGTAGTAACATTGAACTACAAAGTACAAACTCAAAATTATATACAAAACAACATATTATAACCACCATTTTACAACAAAAAGTTAATATAACCAATACTAATCAATTAAATATTCAACAAACTGAACATATGCTTCAATTAATCCATTAAGAAACATTGACTACGTAGAAAAACAAAATCAAATGAAGAATGAAGAACTAGTTTCAATTAATAGTAATTGTAACAGTCCCTATTTAAATGTTAATGGATAATCTTACCACACCTTGCACTTTGAAAGTAAACAGGCAATTTCATCCAGTGAAACTGGCCCTAGACCAACAGGTGACCAACCTAAAAGAATGAACAATAAAAAAAACAAGCACAATTAGAAAATAATCTTGTTTCAACAATACAATGAGAAACATAAAGCCCCATATATACATATTAGATGAGAGTAATAATCATGTCAGGATCCACCTACACATATCAACCATGAATTTACTTATTTCAAGGAAAAAGAAACAAGTTAAGAACATAATGAGATAGGTTCACTACTAACACCATCTTCAGTAAAAGATTAGTCATTCATAGTTATAAGAATTAAATTAAATAAGTTTTAACTATACAAAAATAAAGTTACATTATCAATGTTTAGAAGGCCGATATTTATCTAACAATGAGATAATGTGTGAAATTTGGAGATTTGGTCTGAGATAAAGTAATAAATTTCCTCATATTGATTACCTGCTTTGTAAAAGAATCATGTGTTTCTTGAACGATTATACTATCTGACCATCAATTGCAGATATGTAACACCAACATGAAGAACCTCAAGAAATCATGCAGCAAGCAGGACAGATTAGCACTTACCTTCAGGGATCCCATGGGCAGGAAATAGGTCCAAATGCTTTGGAAAACTACCACTGCTGCACCAAAAATCTTTTGGTACTAAAACTGGTATATTCCTAGTTTGTGCAAGCTGAATTATCTTCAAGGAATCTTTAGTTGTACTTCTTTCAACCAAATTCAAAGGAACAGGCTGTCCTAATGCATGCATTATTTGGAAAGCCATCAAACCAACAAAAACCAAGCCATCACATATTGAAGCTAAAAAATGCAACGCAGGTGCTTTGTCAAGGATATTTCCACCTCCAATCTGTATAAAGTTTGCAATAACTTTTGTCAGATCCAGGAATTAGTAACCTTTTCAGCATAGTACAGAACATGTGCAAAAAATATATAGCTCCCATATGACAAAATAAAGGTGAAGCTGCTCACCCAGTGTTAGCAGTTGACTTATTGGCAGTATTTTGGTATTTACTTTATGTTTTTTTATGTTGTGTAATTAGTCCTTTTTGTCCTGTCCTTAGTTAAGTGCCCCATACTTAATCAGGGGCATAATGGTCATCGTAATTAATTTTTAAGTAATCTATAAATATCAGCTGACTGGGACAGGAGAAGCTAATTGATCCCAATAGGCCTTTTGTTCTTTCTCTCCTTTCTCTTCTTCTTCTTCTTCTTCTTTTCTTAGTGCTCTTTATTCTCTGCTGTTTTCCTGCTGGTTTCTCTATTTTCTGGGCATGATATCACCCAGCAGCTAGTAATTGAAACATTTTAAGGAAGAATTAAAACACTTCACAAGCTGATTAATTCTAGTTTGTAATGACCATTGGGTCTGGTTCTTCACAACAATAAGGCATTATCTCCTTGGTTCTTTTGGTTTAAGCCCCCTTTGGCTTCCATGACTATATAAGACTAGCACTAGACCTTTCTAAACTATTGCTGAACACAAAATGTCAAGATGTAGATCAATCAAATTGGGATTACACAATTTACATGATTTCAGGCCATGGGGCATCAACTGCTATATCTGAGCTTCAAACAGATATTAGTTGAGGAAATATAAGAATTCATACCTTACTATGCAACTAAGAGATGAAGTTCAGAAACACTTTGATTGCTGTCAAACCTTTTCTCATAGGGAAGCCAAAGAAGGAAAAAAAGAAAAGGAATAGTGACAAGAGGATTGTTGCAAGGTGTAAACTTAAGTAACCCAAAAGTTCATAGAGAAACCTAAAAGCCTAAAGGCAACAATTCAAAAGACAGATTATAGTGTGTTAATAAGAATTAAAAGAAAAAACACTTGTGTTGCTTATGTTTATTAAGAAAAAATGGGCTTTTATGTCAATTAAAGTGTCCAAAATCTTCATAGCTTAAATGAAATAAAAAGGTAACAAGTGAAATGGCTGTAAGTGCATACTATCGCAACATTTGGTGTTTCTTTGGACATTGTGGCCTCTATTAGTCGAAATAGATCCTTTTCAAATTGGAAACCAGCAACAGAAGCAGCGCAAAAGCGAGTAACACCAACATTTGAGGCAAGGATCTTATGAGATTGTGAGAAAGCATCATTGACAAAGATATCAACTCCTGATGATAGTTTTTCAGCAAACACAAAACAATTGGCAAGTTCTTCTCTGAACTTGGAGAGATTCTCAAAAAGAAGAATATCTGCCTCATCTTGGACTCTAGACTGCATGTAACCAGAAATGCAATTTGTTGGTACCACTTTGAGTTGGAGAAGTGATGACAAATAGTCTGAAAACAAAAGCACATTAAGAAATGAGCAGAAATGTCCAATCCATAAAATGAGTTGAAGTTCAAGTGGAACACACACACACATATTCCCATTTTCCCTATTGATAAAATAACATTTAAACTTTTCCTTTAACATAATATTTAGCCAATTGGATCCAATAAACAACACAAATCTACCCATAAATAAGTAAATTTTGGCAGTAGGATCCTCCAGTCACAAATGGCTTTTAAATCAAATACCAGGATTGAAGCCAAGCTCATCATCAAATATTTAGATGGATAATTCAGCAAGATTGATTTAAATAGAATACCATAGAGTAAATACCTGCAACAGACTTTGCTGAGAGAAACATTGGATTATTTGGACTGTTCCAGTTACTGACTAGTAAAACTTTCGCACCGGCATCATATAAGTACTTGATAGTAAAAAGGGCTTCGTTGACTGATGATATCTTAAGGTCCAGTGGTTCCCCAAGAAGAAGGGTAGAATCAAAGCGGACTAATACAACCTTTCCAGAAAGCTTTTCTTTGGGATACTCCCTAAGAGTTAGGACATGTGGAATGGTATCAAGTTGTCCTCCATCACATATGTTTTCCTAGAGTCAATCATGGCATAGAAAAAATAAAGGATGTCATAATCCTATAAGAAAACAATAAATGAAATTAAGGGGTATCTGGATTGCCAATTTAATACGACTTTGGTAGCCAAAAATCCATAAGCAATACAACGAGTAAATTTCACAACAGAAATAAACATCTAACCATCTGAGGAAACCAAGTTCTCACAACTATCTCTAGTTGGCTATAGAAATCCTACTCTGTTGTAACACCCCCCCCCCCGGTCTAAGGGTCATGCACTCATGCCATCTGCCAAAGCATGACTGTAGTAGTCATTTTATCTAAAACAATTTTGAAATATTTTTCGTATGAAGAATAAGGGAAAAGTTTGAATGATGAGCCAGTATTAATTATCCATCAGGGAACAGAAGCCCGGCTCAAATGTTTCATGAAGCGTAGGATCAAAACACAACCCACTATTCACAAGTCACAACTAGCATTAACCAAAACGAGAATACTCCTAGAGTCAAGACAACAAAAACCAGTGTGAGACGACAGTACCTCGGACCGAACTGAGAACTTCTCTATCAGTTCCCGAGTCCCTGCGAAAGCAGAAAACCCGACAACTAAGTAAAAGGAACTTGTTGATATAAAAAGAAAAATGTATCTATGGCTGTTACTATTGCAATGGTCAAAAATGGAAACCTTGAGAGAACGACCGAAGACCATGACGTCCATTCCACCCAGCATAATTTCCGTTATACAAGCGAGACCCATGTCGAAGCAATGTCAGTGGCTCGACAGAACGATCATAAAAGATTGAATTATGAAGAAAGAGAGCTCCCCGAAGAGGAACCAATAGCTGACTCATCTCTTTCTCTCTCTGTTACAGATGAGCTGCCTGCTAACATTCCCCTTATTCAAATTCAATCGAAAGAATTATCCCCTTTCAGTCTGTTATAGAAGACTATATTCTGGCACTTTGGAACTTCTCCATTAATATACAAATTTGAAGCACTGGAGGATGACAGCGGGAATGGAATTAAAAGGCACTTTGGAAGCAACAGTGGATCGCAGGATAAGAGATGCACTGAGAACTTCGGAACCTCACCTCAAGGTCCCCTCCTCAACTAGACAACTGACAACTTATGACCAAAACAAAAAAGACAAGTTAGGCCTATAAGCTATGTTTGGTGAATAGCTAGGCTGGTTCAGCTGCGCTCCGGATAGGCGGAAAAACCCAATCCAAGGTTTAGCTGAACGCTTTCGTTTAGCAGGCTGTACATGGGCCCGCACCTTTGACAGCGAGAAATAAGGGAGTTTGGATTTAGTGGACCCTTAGGTTCACGGGGCGCGTGAACCCTCCAATAGGAGGCGTGCACGTCGATTACTTTGAACTAACGTTAATTTCTATCCGTCTGGTTCAATCGGACGCTAAAAGACAAAAAAATAAAAAATCTCATTTTGAACTTTCCCTCCCATTCTCCCATTTCCGAGCCTAACCCTGTCCAGTGAGAAGACCATCGGCGATTGCCAAAAGAAACCAACCGGTGGTAAGTATTCTTTGGTTTTTTTTTTTTTTTGAATGCTTCTGAACCCAGCGGTACCTTGAACTCGAAACTCAAACCTATCGAAGCTGGCGGTACCTCAACCTCAACCTATCAAAAGAAAGAAGTTCCAAAAACAGAGCACAAATGCCATGAGCCTCCATCTTGCCTGGGGAAACATTAGGTTCACGAACCCATATCCAACATTACTGATACCAGCAAAGACAACGGATGGCACACAAAATTATAACAGAAATGAAAATTAAATGGTTAACAAAGACAGAGCACAAATCGCCGTCGCCAATCTGCTCGTTGCAGTGTATGCAATGGTTGTCTAGCATGTTCAAAAGCAACGCCTGACTGCACCACATCCCAAATCCCAAGCCCCGAAAAAGAAAAACATAACCCAGATGGAAAAACAAAACAAAAATAATTGTAATCGAATTAAAATAGTAATCACAAGGAAAGATCATAGAGCACTTGGGAGCAAAGCACCTGTACTTGTTGGGTATGTTCTTAATCATCACAGTGTTTCTGGTATCTCTGCAATCCGAGTCCACAATCACGTTCTCATTGATCATGAAATGAGCATCCGAGTTCTTCTGTCCGCCCTTCCATGGCCGATTCTTCGGTTGCTTCGTTGCTGTCGCAGAATTATTGCTACTTTTGTTGATGTAGTTAATTTTATTGCTGCTGCTCTTCCTAGCGCTCCTCCCCGATGACCCATTGCAGTCTCCCTCTCCTTCAATCCCATTTCCAACAGCATTTAGAGACAACGAACCCATGGAAACAGCTACAGCTGCTTCCGCTCCATAATTTGATCTTGGATCGTTATTCCAGGTAGCATTCACCCCGGTAATACCCGTCGTCTTATTCGGGTATTGAGTTCGAGAGGGATGCATTAGAGAAGAATTGAGGTTGAGCAACCAGACAATCCAAGTGCCCTGGATGCCTTGAGATTCTAGTTTCGTCCATGGCGGTTACGGCTCCTTCACTTGCCGCACGAGGAAATCAGGAAGGAGAAAAAATCATTCGTCTCTCAACCCTCCTTCCTTTTTTCCCTTTTCCCTCTGGAAATGTATCATTTCAGTCGTGCTTATCGGTCTGATATGCCACTATAGTGATCTGTATCGTATAAAATCGACCGATCCAAAACTCATCGATACAGAAGCGTATCGAACCTCGGCTTGACAACTTCAATATAAAAAAGTTTACGACTGGCACGACTAAAACCCAATACCACATCTTAGCGCCGATTAGGGATCCATCTTTAGCCACTGAGACATTATTTCTTCATGTCAATAATCGGAATAAATTAACTTCTGTTATTAATATTTATATAAAATCTCAACAATTCCAATTACAAATTAAAAAGAATATTATTTTAAATTAATATTTTATAAACCAATAGAATAAATAATCTACCAAATCCATATTTATATCAAAAGTTGATTTTTAACTTAAATAAATTTTAAAATGTTAATAATAGAATAATTATTTTAATACTTAAAATTTACTAATTTACAAATGATATATATCTCAAATTTTTTTATAAATTATTAATTAATATTTTAATTTGCATTAAATAACCATGTATTTATTATTTACAAAAATAAAAATATTATTTATAAAATATTTAAAAATGTAATATAAATTGAATCTATCAAATCCACTAATCTATATTTATATTAAAATTTTATTTTTTATTTTAGAAATTTATAAAAATAAAAATATTAATAATGAAATAATTATTGTAGTAACTAAAACTTGTTAATTTTCATATAATATATATCTTTGAAATTTAAATAGATTTGATATATTTTAAGTTAGGATTATATATTTTTATAAATTATCAGTTAATTTTGATTTGCATTTTATAATAACATATCTATTGTTTACAAAAATGAAAATATTGTTTACCAAAATTTTGAGAATTAATTTTTAGTTAACATTTTTGTTAATGTTAAAAGTTATAAGTAGTAAAATAGAAAAACTGATATAATAATTGAAATACAATAGTTGTGTACGTTTTGTGCCTTGGACTTGAACATAAAATAAGATAATAATGGCTTTGTGCATGTATGAATTTGTAAAAATCTATATAATTTGTTTTTTGAAATATTGATTAATGCATATCAATAAAATTATATGATATCTACACATTTAGTTATATTAATTGTAATATATTTCGTCAAAATATACAATTCTTATATATGTATACATTATTTGTAGCTATTTTGACATTAAATCTATTGTTAGTAATATATTTAAAGAATTAATAATCATTTTCCTAGTGTATCCATGTGTTTTTATGTTTTTCGTCTGTATCCATGCGTTTCTAAAGCGTATTTGAACCATCTCTATCATCAGCCTATTGTACCAAAATCAGTTTATCGGCGATAAGCTAAAACGTCAAATATGGCACATTAACGCATAGATGATTTTCCATTTTTTGTCTTTAAGCATTTGGTTCAACAGGACGGATAAAAATTAACATTAAACACCCATTATGTTAAGGGGGTTGACGTGCACACCTCCTATTGAAGGGTTCATGCGCCTTGTGAACCTAAGGGTCCATTAAATCCGCACTCAAAATAAGGTATCATGACAAAGGGTCCCAAAACAGCCCAAAGCGGATTGGGCTCTCTTCGGAAAGGCAATTCTTGGTTGTCGTGTGGGGAGAGTCAAAAGCCATTGCGCTTCAGCCCTCCCAAATAGGTGACGAGATATGCTCCTCACAAATGGATGCCTTTCAGGCACATTCGCTATGCATTGGGAACATCTCCCATGAATAATAACTAATAAGTACGGGAGATGTTCCCAATGCATGATAGGACGTGTGTGTGAGGCGCCCGTAAGGCATCAGATGTGGGGAGCAGATTTGGTCTCCCCAAACGACTACTTTGCTTCCAGTTTCTCTTGGATAGCTGTTCAGCAGGATGTGAAACCAATGGTACCATGCTCCACACTTATGATGGCATGGGGTTATCATTGGTTCCACTTTTTTTTTTTTGATAAAATGGAATAATAATAGAGGGGATACTGGGGTAGCATGTCCCCAAAATCTAAGCCAATGATTATTCCACGCCCATCGGTAAAAAAATAAATAGGACTCTCACTTGTAGAATATCATCATTGGTCCCATAGCTCGTTGAATAGTTATAACTTATAGCATCCAGTTAATCCGATTTAGGGTAAATTTCTTAAATTACCCTTATGGTTTAGCTAATTGATTAAGTATGCTCTTACTATTTCAATATTGTCTAGCCCTACCCTGTTTTTGACAATTGACCAACTCTACCCTTATCATTAGCATCCATTAATATTTCACCAAAACCTGTACACACGTGACACCATGTGAGGTTTTAATTTTTTTTAAAACCCAATGTTACACTCGTCCCCCTCTTTTCGATCCGTCTTTTCGATCCGGATCTTCTCCTCACAAAGGGCGCCTCACACGCACATCCTATTATGCATTGGGAACATTTCCCACTTTTAAGTTATTATTCACGGAAGATGTTCTCAATGTACAGTGAATGCACATGTGAGGCGCCCAAATATGAGGAGCAGATCCCGTCTCCCACTTGGCCGCCCTTCATCCTCCAACCTCTCTCTCTCTTCCCTCTCTCTTTCCCTTTCTTCGTTTTCTCCTTTTCTCTTTCTAAAACAAGGCACTGATCTGAAATGTTATTAAACTAGATATCATAAAACACTCGAAGGGAATCAAATCTTGGAACTCTCGTCTCCGGACTCCACACTTGCAACCACAAGGTGACCTTGGTATTGCATCTGAAAACCGTGTGTCTGCCCTATCTCTGTTGGGATCAAAATAGCCCACTTTTTCTCTAGCCTTCTTTTACATGGACCTAGGAAACAAACTCCTTGTTGTCTCGATGATGCAGCTTTTGGATGTATTTTCAGATTTGAGTCGGCTTCCTTGCAGTAGGTTATTCCTTCCCGTGTTCCTCGGATTTGGAAGTGGAAGTTGTGGCTCTGAGAGCAGGTTTAGTAGAAATAGTGTCTTGCGGTTTCTCAAGGTTTCAAGCAAGTGGAATCGGATTCAGGAGTTTTGATTTATATGATCAAGACTCCTCCATTTTGCTTCCATCCAATGCTTCCCATCATCGACAGTGGCGGAATAGAGGAAGTGAAAAAGGAGGGGGAGATAGGCGAGAAAGAAAGAGCGGGAAGAAAGAATGAGAGATAAGGATACGAGAGGGAAAGAGATGTGGCAGAGAGAAAAGTACCAAATCCGTTGCTGAAGTTGCAGCAGCGGTGGTGGTTATAGATGAATTGAAAGAGGAGGGGAGAAAGAATAGCGGGAAGAGAATGAGAGATAGGGAGACGATAGGGAAAGAGAGGTGGCGGATAGAGAAGTACCAAACAAAGCAAGTGAAAGAGGAATAGGAGAGAGAGAAAATGTCGTTGGGTGCTGCGGGATGCATCCACCTTCTTCTTGTTGGCTGGAGTAGACTCGAACATATCTCCACCGACGTGCGTCACGCCAAGAATATTTGGGGCTTTTGTCACCATTGGCATATCAAAATTGATTCCTTCTCAAACACGGGGATGCTTGTATAGTTTCATCGACAGGTGATCCCTGTCACTTCCGCTCACATCCACTAGGCACTTCACCCCTTTGAACCCATTGTAGCCCTCCACTATCGCCTTCTACATTAGTTGGTTCATCTCTGACTTGTTTCCGCAGTATGAGTACGTCAGCTCACCACTCGCCTTCACGAATAGCTTTTTTCGTGTCCACCACCCCTCGTGCAGTATGGGTCACACTTTCATCAACACATTCTAGTGGTGCTGCAAAACATACACTGCGTAGGATAAACCCTCGTCAATCACCCAATCTCCATCAGGAAATATTTGTGCTCTGAGGAATCGTCAGCAATTTGTTAAAGGTTTTTGGGATTGTCAGTTGGGAGGACACGTGCTAAGATCTTGGCTGGTTTCCATCAGTGATAAAGGGTAAAACTGTATGCCAAGGAAGTGGAGATAAAGGGTAAAACTGATATTTCAGCCCATCTATCAATATTTAACATAGAGGTATTTTTCGCATCAACAGGGATAGCATTAGACAACAATAAAATAATAAGGGTATAGTTAATCAATTAGCTAAACCATACAGATAGTATAAAAAATTTGTCCTCCGATTTATCATACACGTTTTTTTTTTCCTCTGCCTTTTCCGCACTTCCATTTAGATTGTCATAAATGCTCTCTTACATGTGTATAACAAATTTAATGGAAGTGTGGAAAATTGAAGATATTCAAAGCCTAGTACCAAAAGGAAAAAAAAAAAAAAAAGCTTCGGTGGTGAGAGGTACGGCCGAGGTTTTAAAAGGTAAAGTCGTAGTGGAGGCATAATACTCCAAACAGAGGAGATATAAGCCATAAGGCGTTGAGAGAGGCATAAGCCTCAAAGTCCATGAACAAATTAAATAAATTTTATAAATTGCTAAAAATAACATATAATATATCAAAATTAGTACGGTAGAAGGTAAAAATATTCATAAAATAATATAAATTTATAAGTAATTAGTTTCAGCTTTTAATCATTAAATAAAATAATAATTAATCAACTAATAATTATAAATATTTTACATTTCATGTTTCAAAATGTAAAGTTCTCAAATTATTCAAGTGACCGATTCAGAAGAAAGGAAACATACAAAGAATCATCAATATAGTTGATATTAGATTTATGGTCATCCAATAAACAATTTATTTAATTTGATATATGCAAAAAAAAATGACAACAAGAAAATGAATGAGAAAAATAATAAACCTGGAATGTAATATTTAAAATAATAAGAAAATAATCTCACTTGATTTACCAAAGAGAAATTAAGAACTTGATTGGCCCTTTTTGTATTGAAATATTATGATTCTTAAAACATTAAGAGAAACTAGGGTTGCAACTTGGGCCAGGTTAGCTTGAACCCAACCCGAAAAGGTAGGGTTGGGTTGAAGTTTGGGCTAGGGTTAGGGTTGAAAAATATGAATTCAATGTAACTTTGGGTTGGGTTAGGTTAAGGCTAGCTGAACCGTGGGCTTATTTTTGGAACCAAATTGGTATCACTGGTTTTTTGAAAATAGGCAACCAAAACCGAACCAAAGCCGATCGGTTAATTGATTGGCCGGTTCAATTTGTTGATTTGTCAGTTTTTATATTTATAATATATATTATAAAAAAATATATAAAGATATAATAAAAAATCAGAAATATATATAAAATATTATATTTTAAATAATAAATAATATATTATATATATTATAAATATATATTTATATATAATGCATATTTATTAATTTATAATATATAAAAAATATAAAATATACATTAAAAAATATATAATATACATAATATACCTAAAATATATAGAATTATATGTGTACCGATCTCTTCGGTTAATTTCTGGTTTTCTATATTGGTTAACCAAAAGTGAATTGATACCTTCGTTTTTTTTTAAATACCAAACCAATCGGTTTGGTTAATCGAATTTTCAATCTGGTTTTAATAAGTTTTTTAGTTAGATTCAGTTTTTCGGTTTTTGTTGCTCACCCCAATTATTTATATATATAAAAATATAAATGATTAAAAAATACATTATTACTATGATCATCATTCATCTCAAGTATAATAACTAATAATTATAGACATTTTATGATGGTTTAACATTGCCACGTGCTAACAAGTACACATTCGAGGAACGGAGGGGAAAAAAAAAAAAACCCCGAAATTCTGAATCGTAATAGACGCGCGTTGGTGAACTCGACCTGGCCCTTCGCTCTCCAGCTGATGGATGGTGATGGAAGACCAGAAGATCATGGCGGCAAGACTCCAATAGTCCAAACCAAACAAACCTGATGGCAGTTGAATGGAAGCCTTTCCTTTTATCCGTTTCCTAAACCTTTTTCCTAGTAGCTGTTAAAAAGGACAGAAGAAAACGGCTTATTTCCTACTTCTCTAGTGGACTGAGGACCCACCCCCTCCATATTCTAGACTTCTGCGAATTCTCCATATTCTAGACGTGCGCATAAATAAACCAACAACAGAGTACACGCGCCATTAGATCGAAGCATCGGTTTCTCTCTTCCAATAGAACCCTAGATAATCAGACGCTCTCACGGCGACATGGGTTGCTCCTCTTCTCTTCCGGGTAAAACAACTTCCTTCGAATTCGATTGGAATTTTTTTTACTAAATTTCGGTTTTCATCATAGCAAATCACTGAGTTGGATCTTCCTTCACCTCTTAATTCTTATTCCCTTTGCATATCTTTAGTTTCTAGTTTCTATTGTATTCTTTTATTTATGGTGTGTGGAAGTTGATTGCTCGTATTACGGTGGATAATCACCCGCTACTTTTGAAGTCTGCAGAGACTTATAGTTTTGCTTTGTCTTGCATTGGATATATTTGCTTAATCGATGATGGGTCTAGAGCTTTAATTAATTCTGGTTGTGTGGTGTTTGTAGATAGGACGACTTCTGGACGGTTGGATAGTTTGAATTCTCAGGTTGTCGGAGCAACCGAGTCAAAAAATGCGAGAGTGAAGGTACGCTGGTCCCTTGGTATGGAAACTCTGACCTCCTTTTCCTCATGGTCTATGGTGGATGCTGGTTGACTTTTGATACCTGGGACAATTAGTGGATCTTAGCTAGGACTTTGAGGGTGTTTAATTGGAGCTTTGGTTGGTGGAGTTAGGGATGAGGAAGTAGGGAAGAAAAGGGTAAAACCATGGGGGAGGTGATGCATTTTCATAAAGTTTCAACATTTATTATGTTTGTGCCATCTGTGAAAATTTGAGAGAAAAAAATGAATTGATTGTATTGTCTTGGAAGGAGCATATACACAACTTTATATAGAATTATAGAGCTAATTTACAGGGTGATAAAATAGGAAACTAACTTTTCCTAAAAAACTAATTTCTATATCAGTGGGATTCTCCAATTAATATCCCATGATTCTAGGAAATTAAGTTTCCTAAACTGATGGACCTAAAAT